GCAGGGCTACAGACTTCAAAATCGACAAAGTGTTTTTAATTTTCTTCGGGGAAGCTCTAGTTTCTCACAAGTTCCTGTACGCTTGATGGGCGAGGTGGTTTCCAGATTTCCAGTTCTGGGATAGTTGCCGCTTTCTGGTTGAGTTCCAATCAGTGATGTCTCTTGGCTTGCAAGTCGCGCAGTAAACTAACTGGACTGCTAACGAAGGTGATACTACTGTGACTTTGTTGGCTTCCCTAAGTGACTTAGACATGGTTGACAAAAAAAAACTGTCAATTAGGAAGAAGTATATAAGCAATTGAACTAATTTAATAGCTGGCAACTGTCACACATCAGCAATAGTCCTATAGGCTCTTTTCGGGAGGGTAAATCGGATATATTATGGGAGCCGTCACCCAGATTATTATTCAAAACAACTGCTGTTGGAACTGCCCTGGCCCTCGCCTACTTTACTGTAACCTAATCTGTTTGCTTGTCTTCAGACCATTGGACCGTAATTGGACCTGTCTGAATGTTCTGTACTTTCTTTTGCACTCTCGTGTGCTCTTTCATGTTTCCTTTCTACTATCTACTGTTCATCCCACCGAAGAAGCTGATTTCTCTTCCTCGATCAGCCGGCTTTGTCCACTGTAGGGCCGGAAGGGCTCATGATGATCGTCCCATGGCTCTTGCCATTCCTCAGTACAGGTGCAGCAAGAGCATCCATGGGCAACCCCCAAACTATTGGCAATTTGTCTCCCATCGGTCCTATCGCGCCAAACCGCCGTCAAAAAACAAGAACCCCCCCGCCCTCACACAACGTAAGCACGTTCAACAAATTTACCTTTTAGTTGTTTGGGTGGGGGCAACTGGCTTACAATTTAAGTCTGCAAACTTGCCACTCATGAGTGGGCAATGGGCTTGCCATGTGTTCTAATAGCCCAGATTCACTGTGCAGCAGTTCATTACTTTCCAACGCAGTCATGCGGTAATGCTCGGCATCCCGGGTATCGAAGAACCTCAAGTTTTCTCGTGCATGCGCGCGGACAACACCTACACTGGCAATGTGGTGTTCGCCATGTGATCAACCACCATCTGTGACAAGTAGAAATCCTAGGCAATTACACGCAAGGACCCTCCCCAAACGAAGGTGTTTCCTGTTACCGTTGCTGTTTGGTGCTGAAATCCACATAACTTGTTCCTCACAGGTTGGGCAACTACCTTTTCTGTCAATGTCCCGGGTTTCTGGTAATCTGCTGGCGCATATTGCAAACAAAAACTTCAGCTGATTCATGGAGCAAAATTCCTAAGAATGCGTTGGTCGGCCTCAGTGAACAAACCTTACCGAATGTATCCGAATGTCATGCTTCGATAACAGATTCCAAGCTTCTCAGAGTTCATATATTTACAAAACCTCCGGTGTTTCCTTCTACGGTACAGCAGGGCCATGGATTTGGTTGATGTTCACAAAACAGGTCGTGCCGTATTTCATCAATCCCCGTCCCTTAGTGAACATTTAATTGTCAACACGCCAGCACCCCAAGGTAGTGTGAGTTCGCACCCTGTGCCGCCAAAGGGCACAAGGGTATAGAAGTCTCCACCCGCATCATCCAAATACATATCTGAAATCCTGGGCCGAAAATAGCATGCGAAGAACAAACCGCAGGGCGACTACCCAACGCTGAAGGAACCTTCATGCAATGCTACAAGCGAAAACACTGTAAACATATCCTATTCCTAGAGCAACCATGTCCTGACACATGGACTGCACGGAGCTTGTGTATTAATATTCATGCTGTCTAACTGAACGGCCCAGGAACTTGTCCACGACTGATTCGTCAAGAGCTGCTGTTCCTTGTGAAGCACGATTCTGCAACAAGTACTGCTGCCATATTATATTCTGTTATCTCTGCTTTATAAATTAGTATTGCCTTCCAACGGGGTATTGGGTCATTGTGGCCAAATTCAAACACTTGACCTTTTGGGTACGGTTTGCTGCACACTGCTCACATTGAGTGGAAATAGTATATGGACTATTTATTCCTAGAACCATTCCGATCTAATTCTCTGAAGATCGCCTCATCGCAGCACAAGTGGGTACAAACCAACCATGGCAAAGCACTGCAGAGTGCCAGGGCCCAGGACTCAGTCGTACAAACAACACGTAGATGTAGTTGGCTTTGTGATGGCCTGCCCCCTTCTCAATCCCAAACCTGTGTCGCCCAAAGCCTGCTAGGTACAAGTGCACTTTGCACGCTTGCATGGGTGATCCGTACATGCGTACATTGTCAAGGTGTTCATACAGGCCATCGATGGGAACCACGGCCCTACCCTTCATTGAGGGGGCGTCTGCAAATTGTAACATTGTAACTTACATCTGCGGGTTTGGTACCTGAAAAATAAACTTTACGACTACGATTTCTGGATTGCCTCGTAAAAAAAAAAGAAACTTACTATTTCGAGGGCCAAGTGAGGCATGATTCCAAGAATACGTTGTTGAGTCAACTCAGAAAAGTCTATGTTATTTTTTAGGTTGGTTCATGTTGTCCAGTCATCCAACCACCGCATGCATTCCACTCAAAGGCTTCATTGCTTCAGAAGTGGTTTAGGCCTTCGCCCCTACAAGCCCTCGACCAAACATGCCATTTGCAATATTTGATACTGGAACGCGAAGCTACTAGGAACAAAGGGCATCGCTACTAGGAGCAAGAAGCTACTAGTATCTCCTGGCCTTACTACTAGTAACAAGAACGCTACCATGGAGTGTTTCGGATGGGATTTGGAATGGACTGTGCCGGGAGCCCCAAGGATTTGTCTGGTCTTGTGGTCTCTTTCAACATTTCCCCGACACTCCCGCATGACTTCGGGTTTCATCAACTGTTTCCGGAGGGGTGGGAAAACGACACTTCAAACTTCAAACCTAAAATTTGCACTAAGTTACATTTATGTTGCTAGTAACGAGGGCATTACTACCAGTAACAAGAAGCTACTAGGTTGGAGGCCATCGCTACTAGGGTGGAGGCCATTATACTAGTAACAAGAAGCTACTAGTAGCTAAAGTACCGATTCAATTTTACATGGTTCTCTACAGTACCCCCTCTCAAGCTTGTACTGATAGGGGGGTCACTTAGACTCCCGAGAACCAACATGGACCCTGAGAATGGGACCCTGATTGTTTTCCTGTACAAACCAGTGGTTTTCAGGGTCCATGTCAGTTTACCACGGGGTACTTTCTTTCTCTGTTTCGGTGAAAAACAAGAATTGTAACTTAGACTTGTGATGCCCCCGCCACACCATGGCTAGAAGGGTAGTTTTGGAATGAGAACCACCCGAATGTAACCGTATTGCCGGGTCCTGGCAAGCGCACCTTGCCTGAGTGGCATGTGGCAAGAAACAAAGCAAACACAAAAGAACCGTTTGATTGCTGTCTGAAAAGCGGTCCAGAATTATGTCATGGCAGGGTTCAAACTCTGGTTTCACAAAGGAGCTCATCCAAGTCTGATTGAAATGATTGGGTTAAAATGCCCTAGCCCTTTTTCCCTTGATTGTTCAGCAACCCCAAACACCATCAACAAGCACATTGTGAGATGACCGCCAAGCGACGGTTTCCGCATGGAGCTGCCAACCTGCACTGCATGGTTTCCTTCGCCTCCACAGCTCTTTGAGCTGCCCGGACGTCATAGTATACCTCACACGAGCAAGCAAACCGAGTAGCGATTGGTGTAACTCCATCCCGCTCCCCTTACACATCCCAATCAGGCTTGGATACGGTACGGAGATGGCAAAAACCTTTGGTACTGCGCCCATAAATATTGAAAGATATTGGAAGTAGCATCCTCTAGCGCAATAAAACGCAATAAATCAAATGCACAATTTCAATGCCTGGAATACTTGCCAAGTTGCAATTTCCAACAAGCCACGTTCACTGTTCAGAACATTGACGTGACGAACCTTAGAGCTGACGGTCACTGATCCAGAGTGCAAAGAGTTCTTTCCACAAAGCCGACACAAGGAAGCAAGGTGGAAGCAGCCACAGCTGCAGCCTAAAATCCGCGAAAATTCATTAAACATACTATACACATCTATACACACCAATACTACATACATTCTATACATGACTGTACACAACCATCATGTGTGAATGCATTGCTTCAAAACATATCCGGAATATTCCCAAATGATGCGCACAAGTTCAACCTGTCAAGAAAGCCCTGCTCAAGGCAATCATCTAGCCAAATCATGCCAAATCCACACGCGGCAAAGAGACATCTCCAAACCTTTGCATAATTTGCACAGCCTTGTCAACATTGTCCTTGGCAGTCGCTCAGTAGCCCAAAGGCCCTCCACAAGGTCTGCAAGGTCTAGAGCACAAGTCTGCATCCTGTGGTTGAGTCCTCTGAGGCCCTAACTTCTCAAGGTCATGGATCGTTGTGAGTAGAGGGGCCACGTAACACGTATATATATATATATGTATACACATCCCATTTGCATGTTGCGGATTGCATCTGCCATCATCTGCCAAGAGTCCCAATATCGAATCAGCACCTGCACGACATTTGATTCTTGGCGCACCTGGGCATTCATTCTCCCAAGTGCTCCGAAGCAGCCTGTCAACGACGCCTTGGTGTCAGGAACCAAGGTTGTTCCAGATCAACTACCGAAACAATATTGAACATCAAACGAAAGCAGCAAAGCAGTCTTTTGGACAGATTTGAAAGGAGCAATGCAGCCATGAATGGATCAATTCGGAATGCGAATCTGTGCCATCCGAGGAGCGACGAGTGCGCTCAACCGCTCTGTCCCTAGCTTCTTTTCCAGCGCAGCAACCGCGCACAGGCTACGAATTACTTTCAGCCAAAAGGCTCCAACGGTGTCACTGGCTTTGGAACCCTTTATAATCATTGAATTGGTCAAACCGTGGAGCTCAGGAAGTCATCCAGACTTATTTACTAGGCATGTTGACCAACTGACAATCTTGCCTTTAAAGGACCCATTGCTGAAGCATCGCCTGGGATCCCTGCTGAAGCATCGCCTGCTCGACACATTGCCTGATAGCACTTGTTCCTAGTAGCTTCTTGTTACTACTAGTAAGGCACCTGTTACTACTAGCGTGGCACTTGTTTCTAATAGCTTCTTGTTAATACATTAACGAGGATCATTCAACATTTCTGGATGTTCAATTCTACGCCGACTCAGCAACTGGGAGCCTCTGGGTGGGCGGGGGCTAAACCAACAAACAAATCAAATCGCGCCAGGGGAACGCCACGGTCCAGGCTGTACGAATCGATGGAAGGTCCAGAACCTGATGCACCGCGCATTTCCATGCATTTCCCTTTATATAACTGTTGCACGGACATGTGCACTGATGATTGACATTGTTCATGTGCCATGCCCATCTCAAAGCTTGTCGTCATATTGCTGCCGGCTGCTCAAATCCACTGGTGACATTTCAGTCTGAGCCTTTAGCGCGCGCCCTGCCAACTGCAAAGCGCTCGAGTTCCCTGACAGTGGAGATCAGGCTGAGTAGGTACCTGATGCAGCTGAATTGCATAAATAAAAGAGAACACCAAGGTTCCCTCCGGGCCAGGGCAGGTCTTAGTCACTTAGTCAATCTTCGGATCCCTTGTGCAGAAAGGCAGGCGGGGCGAGAGCTGCATTCCTGTATGGGTGCAAGCATATCGGTCACAAGTTCGGCAGGCTGTTGCACATAGGGCGCCAAGTAGCTTGAGGTACTGAACAAAAGGGCTGGATGACTTCCATTCAATAGGTGTGGGTTTCGCGCGTACGCCCAGTGAACATCTAGCAGAACACACAATATAACAGCAAATACGTTGCAAATAATGTAATAGAATTGTCATAGAGTGTAATGGGGGTGTTCACCCTGATATCAAGGAGCAGCTGCGCAATGGGCCTTTCGTCATCGATGCTGCCAATGCCACACTTGAACACCTCCAAGGTCAAAGCATTGTAGCCCAGCAATGATTTACAGTAAACAACTGGTTTTACTTCCTGATATCTGCCACAAGCCTGACTAATATCTGACTCGCATGGAACCAAAACACAACTTCTACCATTCATGTGATGGTTCTTGCATAACTAGGCACAATCAAAAGAATCCACTTCGTGCAAGTCATGCAACCAAAAGGCATCTGGCAAGGGAACTGTGAGCACCTAAGAAGCAAGTCGGGCAAATTCCAGCCATGTTGAGCCTAGCGTGTCCTTTTCAACAAGGTCTCTTGAGGGTGTGTGACAAAATGTGTGTACATATATATGTTGGACTTGGCATAATTTGTTGAGTTCAAAAGCTCTGGCGTCAAACGTTTCTGATAAAGGGTCTCTTTGGAGATTGATTAATCAATGGCGCCTCTGAGCCATATGAAACATGTGGAGCTCTTGATGAACAGCACGAGGAGTGAGATGAAGAAACCGAGGAAAATAGAAGTCAGGCGTTGTACAGCTAGGTGTTAAACAAAGCGGCCCCAGGTGAAGGCCCTTGTGATCAATGTGTGCTGTGTAATCTGCCGGGTAGATCTCATCTCCAAACAAATGGCCATTACCTAGCACAATTTTGGTGAAGTAAAGCTTAGACTCATCAAAATGGACTATATTATATAGTATGTGTATGTGTGTGTATGCATGTATGTAGGTAGGCAGGCAGGCAGGCAGGTAGGCAGGCAGGTAGGTAGGTAGGTATGCGGGTATGTATGTATGCAGCATGTAGGTAGGGACACATTATGGAGCGAACATTGAACCACTGAGGATCCAACACCGGTGTCAAAGAATGCCTTAAGCTGAAGGCACGTCAAGTAGCCTGGACGGCTGAGTAATGGGCAATAAAAGCACGAGTACTTAGAATCCACTGAAGCTGTGTCTTCCTGGGGGTAATCAGGGCACACTAGTTCTATCCAAAGTGCGGCACAACAAACAATGAGGAAGTCTGCGCCCTTCAACACAACCAAAACATGTCAAACCCAGCACCGAGATGCAATAAGGACGATTGAGGAGAGCAAATAGAGCAACGAGGATGGTTGGAAAGAATGCCAATCGGTACAGACAAGGACCCCTGCATTCCTAGCTGCAGGGGCTGTCAGTGTTTGTGAGGTATGCACACAATGAAGCTGCCGTACATGTTCAACACTGTCATATATACCGAATACCATTATGAACTGTATATACACTATATACGCTATATATATAAATGTTTGAGAAGAACGCCTCTTAAGCGGGTCTCCTCAGCAAGCCATCCAGCTTCAGAAGCTCATGCCTATTCAATGCCCCGTCCTTCAATTGGGTCCACTCCTGGTGTCTGTCAGCTGGGCCTTCTGAGAAGTTGCACAGCTCTTCAGCCAAGCGGAATCGCACCTGGCCAAGCGACTTCGTAGACGTGCGATGCAGCAGAAAGGTCCATGAATTCATGTCACTCAACATCTCTCAACAGGTCCTGCACGTGCGCTTAGCGAGATCTTTGTATTTTGCATGCTGAGACGATTTGCCACGCGTTGGCGCCATACAAACCAGTGGGGTATATTGTTTGCTGGTTTTGCATGCTCGCAATGGCAAGCTTGCCTCTAATTTCTGCCAAATCTCTCCAACGACGTCTTCAGGCTTTGGGACCTGTGCCAAAGACCTCAGGCTTCTTCTTTGGCGCATCGGGACTGAGTGACTCACTTGACCATGAACGCCTCTACTCTCATATGGCGCACTTTATTTACTTGGAATTGAAGTACTACGTGTACGGCAATCTGTCACCGTTCCACACCACGAGCTTACCTGGAGCCTACTGTCTCCGGCTGCAGTTCAAACCCTTTGGTTCTTTCTTCGCGCTCACATTTCACAAAGCTCATTGGCAAAGGTCTATGTTTTGACCAAAGGCTCACAGACTGGAAAGCAAACCTCTTGGGAAACAAAGCTGATGCGGACCACACGCCTCATGAGGCTTTTGAAGAAACGGCAGTCAGTGCCATGCCGCCACGGATGGTTGATGTTGGACGCACCACGCTAGTAAACTTGGTGGAAGCAATCGGATCGATCAGGGTTAATGAAGTCATGAGACTCATGAGACTCCCTGATCCCTTGCTTCTCCTGTCTGCACAAGAATGCACCAAGTCTTCAAGTCTTGTTCATGCTCGTCGCTTGGCTGAAGACCAGCTCATTCGCGTCAATGCAGCTCAACCTGCTGGGGGTGGAGAACGTGGCGTCGAATTGAAAGCACCAACAATGCAAGTCAAATGCGCGGCTTGAAGCACCTGCATACCCCCTGAAACATTGCAGCGACTGCGAGGGTTATGCAAAACAAACATCCTGCATATATCAGTCTGCTACTTGCTGATCATGTCCCACTTATAGAGTTTGGTGTGATCCACGATGTTCCAACCCATGTCCTCTTCCCTTTTGGCATCGAGCACTGTAGAGCAGGGAGCACATGGAGGCACAGCAAAAGGAACTTGTGGACGAAACACATCCAGGTCTGCTGGACCCACCAGCTTTGCGGGACCTGCAAGGTTCGCGCATCGATTGCTAGAGTTTGGACCCGGCGCCACTACACCAAGTTGAAACACGCCAACTGCTGGACATGTTGCAGTCAAATCAAGCTCAAAAGGCTGGAGAGGAAGAACGCTTTGGCATGAATCAACATCACAATGTATTGCAGGATTCTACGTTGTTCTGTGTTGTGAGCAAGCGTCTTGCAAGGGAACTGGCATAAACTGTTTAATCACGAGAAACAAACAATTGTTCTTCCAGCGTGGAGCAGTTGTGGAGACTATGCTTACAAAGGGCCTGTTGAATTCTTACTTGCGGTTGGTCCCACCTTCGACGAAGGGCTCCATTTTTCAGAACTGTCCAAATATCCTAGGTGGCGGAGAAACCTATGTGTGAAAACGTCAGGAAGATAACTGGGCAACAAAAATACCAAAGGAAAACACAACATGGATATGATTTATTGTATTTATTACTTCCTCAATTGAGTCTAAAAGGCTGCCCACACAAATCTCACTTATATATGCATATGTACATATACGGCTCCTGTATGTCCTTATGTTGCTGTAGCCTGTCCGCTCTACAAACAACACAAATTGATCATCAAACGAGAAGTGTCAGCCTCTTCCTTGTCAACTTCGTCTTGGTCTTCCCACTCTGGCATGTCCAAGTCTTGCGTAAACCATACAATTGCATTGCTTTCCTTTCGGTCTACCTTGCCATGACACATTCAATTTAAGTGAGCTAGCCGCTGTACTAACTATATAATTACTCTGAACTGGAGCTTGAAATCTAGTGTGAACGGCGTGAACTAGAAACACCGTTGTCAAAAAACAAACAGTAATAACTAATAACTAAAGTGAGCAAAACAATGAGCAACAAAACGTTCCTGATATATTTGCTTGGCCTCTCCATCGGACCCCGTCGGCGTCGGACGCACAAAGCTCCCATGGCCTATAATAGCAGGCATTGTTCGCCTATGTTTCTACAATCAAAGTGAGGATGACTGATGAAAAGCCAAGCTGCTGACCAATATGTACAGGCGGCACCTCCCCAGCCAAACTCCTTTCCGCTAAAGCCCGCCAATGCTCCCAATAGGCACTGCCGCTCTTCGTTGGCCAAACCGGTGTCTTTCCTGGAAGGGCAAACAGGGTGAACAAACGCTACTACACTATCCAATTTACTGTAAACAAAGTTCTTTGACAATACTACTTAACGCTACTTGAGAGGAGGGAGACACGAAAGGTAGGACAGCGGGAAGAGAAAAGAACGCGAGAGGCAGGAACAAAAATGCAATGTTCGACATGGTGATTTATCCGCTCGGAGGCGACCTTTCGTAAATATAATTTCATATGCACTCTAAATGTTCAAACATATGCTCCGAAATGTTGCCCATGGCTCAGATCATCGGTGAGCATTGAATCGGAGCATCATAGGATTTGAACTATCCTGAAACCATAAGAGGCTCACGAAGACGTTCCCCAGGAGAGAATTGACGTGCTTCACAAAACAAACTCTAGGTATGTATCCCCTCGGGGAACACCTTTCGTGATTAGAATTTCATCTGCACTCTTTCTGAATGTTCACGAGGGTTTCAACTATCCTGAAATCATGAGAGGCTCACGAAGACGTTCTCCAGGAGAGAATTGAATTTAGAGGGGGGGGGGTCGCTATTGAAAAATCAATTCCTCGGGGGGCGGGGGGGTTGAATTGAACTATCAATTATTAGACCCGGACGCGCCGACACTTGCTTCGCAAGACAAACTCTAGGTATCCCCTTAGGGGCTACCTTTCGTGACCTCCAATGTTTGGTCTAATTTTGCATGGCTTTGCACAACATAGTGGATGATTCTAGCATCTTCTTGTTTCATTCTTGCACACCTTTCCAACTGCCAGTGCTCCTTGGCATCTCCAAGGCCTGCATGGTATCCTCTTTCAGCAGCCTTTTGCCATCCCCCAAGAGTCCACGTCGGAATAGCATATGCACGAAGCGGCAAGTGTCAGCGACAGTGCTCACCAAGCCGCCCTGCATGTGACCCATGATGCCACCCCCGGACTGAATCTTACATTCTTGTCCGCGGCGCCAGGCTGACTCCTTCACAGAGTCCCCATCCAATCGTACCAAGCCAGCCCTGGAAGCTTGTGGTGCCCGACCCGGCATGGTGCCATAGAGCCTTCCCCAGGTGCTTGCATTTCCATAGCAAGCCGCCAGGCGTGGCAGCTTCTCGTCTGGAACGGAAAAGCTCGTGTCATGCATGCCAAGAGGCTTGAATAATCGTTCTAGTAGGAAATCTTCCAACGTTTGTTGGGAAACAACTTCAATGACGCGACCAAGCACGTCAGTGGAAAAGCCATATGCATATGCGTCCCCTGGATGGAATCGAAGCGGCACTTTGGCCAATCCTTGGTAAAGCGGAGAGTTGACCGGTAGCCTGACACTATCTTTAAAAAGGAGAAAGTAAGCTCGGTGAAAATTGCTAGACTACCATTCGCTCCTAGATGCGTTCTGCTTCTATCTAGATCGCAACTTAGTCACAGGAAGCCTGAAAATAATCTGACATCCCCAAAAGCAAGTTGGCCAAAAGCCATGTCTTTATTCCTTACACCGCTGGACCCTTCTTTCTTTTCTGTGGCTGGTTCCTCAAGACTCACCCAGTGCCGCTCCGACTCGATTGGTGAAATCCTCGAGATTACGCACTGCCCCGTCATCCACCGCCTTTACCAGCCTTGCGTAGCCCTCTTCTGTAGCATCACTAGGCGATTCGCCAAAGCCACAACCGTAGGACAGGCCAGAGGTGTGAGTCAACCTGGGCGCAAGGGTTCCAAATGGTTCCAAGGGACATCTGTACTTCGAGGCTGCTCAAGGTATTAATCTTGATGAGTGCTAGAATATAACGCCGCAAGCCCGCGGCTTCACTGAAAAGGATCCAAACACTCTGGACCACGGTCAAGGTACAAGTGCTGCATTCTCATCGCCCTTTTTGGCTTGATCAACATGGATGGTTTTTTCTCCTCGCTGGAGCGTGCTGCCACCACCTCACAGGGACAAACCCATTCCGCTTCGATCTGTGGAACATGTCAACGCGATCGCGAAGTGAGCCTCCTTACCCTATGTCAGTGGCAGTAAATCCTTGTCTCATCCCTTCAGGTGAATGATCTCACCTATCAATCGGACATCAAGAGTTCCCAGCATGCCCAGCGTACCGTTGATGCCTGGATGTCGGCAAATGCTGGCAGAAACTTGGCCACCGGGTCTTCAAAGCGTACCTTGCCCTGCTCCACCAACATCATGAAGGCAACTGTGACCTGATTGGTGAACTCGTTTAACTTGTGTAGGGCAGTGCCCAGTATTATATATTGTGTATGAAGGTGGTTGAGGGAAATGAGGAAATCAAGCCCAACATCTACAGCTGTTGTCAAAGGATGTCCAAGAAGCAAAGGACTTTGTCAAGCAAAAGGTCCGGCAAATGGTGTCCAGTCTAAATGGCTTCTTTGATTCCAGGTCTGCATAGCCAAATGCCCGTGCATGGATCAGCTTTCCATGCCTCATGGGAGGGTTTTTCAAGACATGAGCAACGCTAACGCACTAAAACGTAGTGGTCTTCTGAACCTTCCAAAAGCAACTGATGGTTTCGGGCCCCAATATTTGTTGATACCACACCACATACACAAATGAGGCTGCAGTTCAACTGTCGCAATATAAAAGTCAAGTGGAGTCAATGACAATTAGGAAATACTAGGAATAAAGCCATGTGAAGCCCCCTTCCGATTTGCATAGTCCCAAAAGGTTTATGTCTAGTGACCACCGTCGACTGTTGTCAATAGCTATCACACTCCGAGTTGCGAGGATACGCGGAACTACAAACACAACCAACACAAGGCTCCAAAACAACACTCTCTCCCTCTCTCTCTGTCTCTCTCTCTCTCTCTCTGCCTCATCACGATACTCGCGCACCCAGGGATGATATTCTTTCTTGAAGCAGCTTTCATGGCAGCTTCATACTTTCCTGAGAGACAGGGTCGTCTTCCAGAAGTGGATGTCAAAATAGTTTATATATACATACAAATGGCTTGAAAGGCGACTATTCTCATCTGGAGTGTGTGAGAATGTTCTCGATGCATCGAGTGGCTACAGTGACTTTAAACAAACAGCATATACAAATATGTATAATATATATATATATATTTTTTCAAAAATTGTGTAATTGTGTAATTTATTTGTAGTTATTTATTTCAAAAAACAATAACCAACACATGACCTAGCACTTTGCTGGATTCAACCCCAGCTGACGGGCATTCAAAGGATCTCAAAATACACCAAACAAACAGCTGTCATGTACTTGCTTCATGCAATGGACATGTCTGGAACTTTGCAAGGCTGACAGCTCAGAACCCAGCAGCCGTTGATGGAGATAACGTATGTGCATAATTGCATAACCATATAAATGTATAACAAACGTACTTGCATGCAAAAACGAGTATATTCAATGAATGAGACGATCAAAACAGGATACAAAGCAACAAGGCATAGCACAAATCCTTTGACAAGCAAACGGTGCCGATGGACAGTGAATGGCACTTCTTGGTGGCCAACAGTTCGCAAAAGTCAAGCACTCCCCAACTGACTGCAGCAAACTCAGCAAACTCCCTTTTGACAGTGAAACATGAATACATAATACTATTGAATACTCACTGGCATGATTATTCCCCAATACCTTTTGTCCCATTTTTGTTCCTTCGATCAAGGTGCTGATGAGCAATGGATCGATCCCGCAGGGATCGTGCGGAACTTCCAGGGTCAAGCCTTTGTCACCTCAACCGTCGTGTCCCATGCTGTCGGAAGTCCCAAGTGTTGTGCTGCACAGTGGCTGCAGTTTGGTGTCTCAGTTCGGTATAGTTTGTTTTTCTCCAGAAATAGGCGTTGGAGGAAATCACAGGAGTGGGACGAATTGATCTGACAACTGCAAGCTGCGACTTTCGATTCTTACTGATGAGATGCCAAGCCTTGTAACATCAACAATGTTGGCTAACTACGAGAACGGCCGGAGCACCTGACTCGCTAACCCCCAGCGACCATTGGCCTAGCCTAGGCCAGCTCTTGGCTTCGAGCTGCGCTTGAGCTTCTTGACCACGCCTTTGTGGTAACAATGATGTAGCCTATGGCGAAATGGCATGGACGCTGGGGGATTCTCTTAGCAGTCCTCTGCGACATGGGCTAGCACCAAGGCAATCCCCACATCTGCTGGAATTAAGCTGAAGCAATCGCATGGATCTGTAAATCCCTGACATGCTCGAACCGTGCATGTGTATTAACTGTATAATACAGTACACTTTGTCTGAAATTGCTGGACGATTGTGATCGGTTGGGATTGTTCTGGCATATATGTGGGGCACTCCTACTCAATGCTGGAGCCAAAGTCAGTGCACATCTCCACAAAACCAATTCTTCCTGCCGGTCTTTGTAGCCTCTAAATGCCTCTGGGCTCCTGTCTCCAGGGTCTCACTCACGGTTGTACGATCGCCTCGGAGCAATGCCTGGGCAGCAGGGCGCCTCGCCGGACGGTCGGCGAACAACAAACTGCCGTCGCTGACGGAACCGGCGGCATGGAATTGAATGGAGAAACTTTAGGCCCGAGCACTCTGCAATATGAACCTAAACAGCACAATGAGCCTCTCTGAGCACTAAAAACGAGGAATACAATGCAAGCCAGCGCAACTGAGTACTGAACGCTCCAAATTAGCAATTCTAATTAGGGGAGTTGTAGTGTCTTTATCTTGATCTGAGGATTTGGACACCAAGGCGCATCAAATTCAGTTCATGCTCTTCAACGTATGTTTTGTCTGTTTATCACAAAGGCCCTCATTCTTGAATGCCTTCGTAGATGTTTGACATCTATAAAGCCTCGCTGCTCATGCAAATAAAGGCCCTGGCGTCTGTCTTCGTGCACTGCCGTAGACCTACGGAGAAGGCGGCAAAGCTGGGGAACGAAGCATCCAGTAACGTAGCTTCTTGTCTTGTTACTAGTAGCGATGGCCTCCAACCTAATAGCGATGGCCGCCAACCTAATAACGATGGCCGCCTAGTTTCTTCTTCTACTCGTAGTTGGGGCGGAGTGCAAGAACCACACTACAAGGGAATCATGCACCAATGCAACGTTCCAATGCACGGTTACAAATTGCACCTCGTGCATCTGTCTTGAGGCAACCTGCCCAAGTTTGGAGATCAGGAAAAAATTGGCACTACGTGGCCCCTCTCAAATGAGAAGTAGATGCGAAATGACATCACATTGCTTTGAGTCAACACCAGCTCCGCTGACCTACTTTTTCATTGGTTGTCAATTCCTGCCGCGCTATGTAAATTAGTTCGAACCTCTGAAACTTTACCTGTGTTCGGCAACTTCCATCGCTCCAAGTTGGAGAGCCTGCTGCTCTAAAAGTTCTTCGTTGCAATCATTGAGTCGGAGCTCCAGCGTCGCCTCACTCATGTAGGCTGGCGCGGCTGGTGTCTATGCTCTACTGATTTCTGCATGCTGTTTGCATGTGTTGCTTTGTTTAGCGGTCAGCATGCTCGATACGTGCCAAATATTGATATATATATATATTGAGTAACACAATGAACGTCGTCTTGTCTGATCACTTCAAAAACACAGATCCAAGTAATGGATCCATGGGTGTGTTTGGACAATACACAAAAAGAATCTGGTGGCTCTGCCATGGAGCCACTCTGATCCCCAGTGAGCTTTTTAAACTTTTGCTCAGCTGCTGGCCACGAGCGCCTTGGGCTGCACTGGAGTTTCCTCAAGTATGCGGTATGCTGGGCACGATCTCGTCAAGTGCAGCTTCCATGGTTGACAAACAGTGGCAGAATGAAAGCACCCTTTTCACTTCCACAGGCGTGTGGGGCCTTCACGCTTCCACACAATTGACGCTCCCGGGCAAGTCCTAAAGTGGCCCGGATTAATTGGGTACAAGTAGAAGCTTCTTGCTCCTAGTAGTAAGGCCAGGACCCCCTAGTAGCGTGGTTGCTCCTAGTAGCGATGCCCCTTGCTCCTAGTAGCTTCTTGCTCCTAATATGTTTTGTCTTAGTTAATGTGGTGACTTTGTGGGGGTGCTGGGATGACAAGAAACGATTGCTGGCAGGCGCAGCACTTTGTGAACCTCGGAGTGCTGATCTTAGCATCCGAATTGCATGTCACATGAAAGAAGCCTGGTGGCCCTGAGCATCCAGAGTTGTGGCGTTGTATGGCGTTGTGCTGGCTTATGCCTGGATGTTTCCTATTGCTGTAACGCGTGATACAACAATCCAAAAGTTGTGTCCAATGGACACCTCTAAGGAGTGTAGGGTAGTCCATTGGACACCCATTGGATGGTACTGGAAATCATACCAAAATATACCAAAGTATTCAGACTGATTTGACTGCATTTTATTCCAGTGGCAGGCGCAGCACTTTGTGAATCTCGACAATTTTGCCCTCGGGTGGCTCACAAAAACTATGTTCTGATTCCATTGCTCCTTTCTCCTCTAAATGTTCCCCTCGTGCCGCTCACACATGGCATCCTACGTTTCAACCTCTAAATTGTATATAACCTTGGGCGCGGCTCACGAAAGGTGTGCTATTCTGGAATGGCTCCTTCCTCCTCTAAGATTTACCTTCGGATTGGTCACATTGGTGGCTCCCAAGAACTATGGTTTCTCCCTGCTCTAAACTCTATCCTCGGGTGGCTCACCAAAGGTTTCCTACGTTTCAACATGTTTCAATCTCTAATTTTTAAGCATGTTTTAATCTTATAACCTCAGGTGGCTCACGAAGGAATGCTATGTTGGAGCGGTTCCTTCCTCCTCTAACTTCTACCCTCCGGTGACACCAAAGGTATGCTACCTTGGAATCGGAAGGCCCCCTTACCTTCCTTCTGTTATCTAAGTTGGAGACAGCGGCTGGCGCTTCGACATTCTCCATTGCAGCCACCTAGGGTTGTCGGGTGATCAGCCTGTCGGAGATAAAAACAAGTTGCCATTGTGTTTCTTCCAAGAATCTTCAATGAGGGAAATAAATTAATCAGCAAATTTCACGAGGATGCTAGCAGGAACCGGGTCACAGTCTACTAGATATGGCAACTGCCGTGATTTGGCACACCGAGGATAATGCCTGATGTTCTTGCCCCTCGTGCATCCCTCAAAATGGGGTATCGGTATATATACCAGTATATATATATGTGAAACGGAAGTGCATGGACATATATATGAACTTTACATCATGTCATGAATGGAGCACAATTGCAAACTGATAGAGCCCCACCTTTCTCTTGCCCATCTGCCTGAACCAACCACAGGCTGACCGAGTGATGGCTGATGAAATCTTCTGGTTGCTACATTTAAGCATCTTCTTGGCAAGAATTGGATAGAATTGGTGCATACTATAGCACCTCCCTCCTGACCTGCACATCCTGGCTGACTGCCTCTGGTCGTGAGTTCATATTGGTTCTTGCCCCTCATGGACAAAATGTGCACTCACTCACTCACCCACGCACTCACTCACTCGCACTTTATTACACTTACAGTAGGCACGCACTCACCCACTTTTTCACACTTTTTCATGCACCGACCCACGCACGCACACACTCACCTCACCTCACCACATCACATCACACTACACTTCAACACATCAACAAACAGCTGCAAAACACTTCACAAAAAGGCATCACCACATCCAAAAGAACTCAGTAGTGTATATATATATATACACTGTATTATAACATATTATAACATGATTGAAATGTCCGCCCACCGGCTCTCCAAAGGATTATATACTTATTGTGTAATTGTGTATGTATGTGTATATATAATTTATGGTGCCCGTATTTCGTAGGCACAGGGCGCTCCGAATTCGATCTGGTAAGTCTGATTTGGTTCTACGAGCCACGACAACGACAACTCCGAAGACACCAACCATCGATGGCTTGCTCGCTCCATTTTCGGCACGGTGAGACTTCGGCCAGTGCGGTGACACTGAGCGTCTTATAGCGCTTCTCTCGGTGTTTGGAATCGATTTAGTCCGGGGTGGTTGGCCTGGTCCTTGTCTTTCTCTGGCTTCATCCTGTCTGGTGGGATTCGATTGGCTTGAGGCTCATCCTGGACCTCAGGAAAATCTTCTGGGACATCTTTGGGATGTGGTGCCTTTGGCATCTCACATTCCTCACCTTGACTCCCACTTTGCACTTTCACCAAGGTCTCAAAGGTCTCAGTCGTTTCAAGCATGACCTGCACTGCTTCTTGAAAGCTGTTCGACATTTCCGACTGGATCTGCTGGAGCTGGCACTGCATTTGCCGGGTCATCTCTTCCAACTGCCCACGGAGCCCTTCACCAGGACTCGGAGCCCTTTGGCGTGCATCGTTTGGACTGGGAAGGAGATCTTTCTGCAAGCGCACGGAGCCTGAAGGAAAAGACACAGCAACAGGCCTGGAAAAATGCGGTTCAACAAAATCAACATTCTCACAGCACTACATGTGACAAACAACAAGGAGGAATTTGTATCTTCCGATAACTTGTGAACATTTGGACCTTGGAGCCGCCTGGTGTTGACGCAAACTGTTTCTCCACCCTTGCAACAGACTTCCGTAGCTCAGAGATAGAAAACAAGATCACCTGGCTCATCTGTGTCCTCACCCGTGAGAGCGTATTGACAAAACTGATATAGCTCACTTCACCTTCACCTTCCACATCCATGACGTCAAAAAGCAATCCAACGTCTTCAGGATAGACTCCCATCCCAACCATGGCTTCGGCAAAAACGGGATTTGTTTCAAAGCCTTGCAGGAACTCATCTTCGCTTAGCCGACCATCACCATCTTTGTCCAGTTCCTTGCAAAGACGAATGAGTTCCAATTTCGATTCACGCATTTTCTCCTCTTGGTGAAGGACTTGCCTCCTTTCCTCCTTGTCTCGTGCGTCTGCCGCTCGCTCCACGATCACCGCCAAGATCAGGTTGAGCAGACCCAGCTGCAGGGTGACCAAAACGCCAAAGAACCATAGAAATGTCCACCAAGCCGTCTCAATCAATGGAATCGCAAGGTCACCCCAAGCGTCTGCAACGATGACCGTCTCGAAGATTGTGATGAAAGCATCCCAAACCGAAGAATAAGCTCTTTGACATCTCTCGCAATCGCTGTCTGCCCAAATCTGGGAGTTCACTGGGTGGATCAATTGCACACCCAAAATCGCCCAAACAAGTGTCCCGACCTGCCATCTTTGTCGTGAGAGCAGCGCATGTTTGCATCCACGGGGCAAACAAGTCGTTCTACCGGCCTACACCCAAAGTTCCCCCTATAAAAAGGAACAAAAACACGTCCCCTCAAGAGCTACACTTTCGCCAGGTGACCACTACCATGCCCATGCCGAAGAATATGGACTTGGCAGCCGCTTGAAAGCCTAGAAGAAGAATCTTAAGTTCCCAAACTTGTCTCAGCACACGGATCATCCGGAGTAGCTTGACTAAGCGGAAGATCCTGATCATCGAGACATGCTCTACCTTGTGCTGACATACTTCTGGTCCAAGCAAATCGATGCATGGTCATTTCCTATGAAGTTTTCAGATGTTTTGCCTGCCCGCCATGCCAACGAAAGCCAAAGGAGTAAAACTACGGTGAAATGCCAAAATGTTCACCGCACAAAGCCGCCCAGGTGCACTCGTGAAGAAAATGTTCAAAATTGCAAAGCATGTATCAGTAAAGACCACCAGCAGGTCCAGCCAGTTCCATGTCTCCTGCATGGGTCGGTGCACCTACGTCAGCCAACTGTGTTCGTTGAGATTATTTTCCAGTTGCCAGCTGGGCTCCGCTGTCGTGATCTTTCTCTCTCTCTCTCTATCTCTCTCTCTCTGTGCAAAGTCTAGCCGTCTAGCCATGTCACAGCTGTGGTACAGGGGCATTCTGACGTAAACTACATATATAAGTATAAGGTGCGATGGTCATTCACAACGTACATACGCCACACGCAGTTGGATTTCGAGAGTTGCAATTTGAGGGTGTTCGCAGCTGAATTCAAACATAAAACACGTTGACATGTCTGGAAGCTGGTCACTACAAGGCTCAACCCATTTTCTCTCCAGTGTCCCCATGCGAATCCCATGCAATCAATGCTTACCAGTGGTGGACTTTTTCCCACCAGCCAGCGGTGAAAGCCGGTACCCCTGGTATCCTCAAACGTTCCCGCCACTGACACAGCAACAAACAGTATGATTCATATCATACGTGACTCCAACAGCAATTCTGTGACAAGCCGAAGCCACACCCACGAGGATGCATAACAGTTGACTGTCGTAATAAGAACGTGTTACAACAGCAACAGCAAACCTATCGACAATGTGCATTGCATGCATCCTACAATCACACAGCATAATCTGATATGCAAGAGTGGCAACGACAACAACAACGAACAGCCACAGTGAACAATGGACACCAACAAAGCACCACACGAGAAATGCATTGAACAGCAACGGGATTAGTGCAGGGTGAGAAGCACAAGTAAAGGCAGCACGAGGAAGCAAAAGCAAAAACACAGCAAAAACAAAAACGAGCAGTTGCGGTGGCTGAATGATGTGAAACAACGTGTCCGAAATGTCGGTGGGTCTGAGAGGGATCAAAGCGCCTCCCTCCCAGAGCGCGACACAGCAAAGAATGTTCAAACATGTTCAAACACTGACGAACATCCAAGCGCGCTGCAACAATGTCCACTTGGTCTACTTCAAGCACTTCTTGCTTTCCATTCCCTCAGCAACTGCCACTTGAACAAGTGTATTTGTTCTATCATTTTCCGCACTCCGCCTGGAAGAAAGCAAATCTAAAGACCACAATCTTCGTCACGCACTCCGCTGCGTACACGGCTAAGAACACCACATTGCTCTGGGTGATCCACGCTGGTGGCACTTGTCCCTCAGCGGTCTGGTCTGTCTCCACAATGATCAGAATCAGGTTCAACGATATGATGCAGGCCAAGGCTGACTCGAATGTAGGTGAATTCAAGAAGTTCCCAATCCTTCCAACATCTTTCTTCCAGAATTCATGTTTCCTTTTGCTCAACACCTTTTCCGCAACATCCGCCGCATCGTCGGCAGTCTGCACATGCCGGGTATCTGCGTAGGTGCCTAACAGGGTATAACAACGTTGCACCAAGAAAAAAACGAGAAGTCGTGAACACCTCCACCACATGCGACCACTGCGAGAAGTCTACATTCTCTGAAACAAGAACATAAGGCGCCTGCATGAGCAGCCAAATGTGTGGAGCTTCCGCGGCGCACGCGCTCCTTGGCACTCCTAGACATCCGATCCAGTCCCGACATTACACTTTCTTTAGCGGGTGAAATCTGAGAGGTCCGCTGCTTTCAGCCAAACAGCTGCAAAAGGATGAACAAGTATGAAAAAACTCAAAAACTCAATCCTTGTCTTGGTCAAAACCGCTTGATGTCAGAACATGTCTGCAATTCACTGCTGAGGCTTTTCTTGTTGGGATTCGTTTGGCCCTCCAGGCATGCGATGAAGCTAGTGTCGTGGTACCAGATCCGTTTCACAAGACCCACACACACATCCGACACCCAAAGCCCACCTTCAGGCCATCATGCAATATGATCACCCGATTGGGCTTGCTGGAGTAAAAAGATGTAAAAAGTGTATTAGATACAAGTAAGACTAGTCACGACATGATTGGCAATACGTGTCTTATCGTTTCTTGCAGTTTCTTGCCTGACCAATGCCCCCATGCTGGTACACCAAAGCAAATTGGAGGGTGAGAGAGCTTACCAATGTCTGCCTGAAACTACAAGCTTCCCAAATACAATTATGTTCATTCAAAGCCAAAACAATGAAGCCCGCATATACAATTGCATGCTTTGGACACAAAGGCACCAAGCGAGTGAGCAAAAGCGCATTGTATGCCGTCTGCTGTGTCTTCCCTCTTTATCATGCTCCCATGGCCCTTGTTTTGCAGATCGTTTATGTCCGCAGCCAATGTTTGGCTCCTTCGCAGCCTGGCTCTGTAGCAAGCAAGTTTCTGTACACATTGCACGGCTGCGTGTCATAATTAGATCCACAGGCCAGTCCAAACGGCATTTGTTTCTGGCCAGCTCTGTGACTCAGTAGACACTATATAGTCCTTTTTGGTGCTCGTGGAGGGTGATACAGCCATTCCAACTGCAAGTTGAACACAGAAAAACATCTATGCCGGCTTTGCACGGGTTCGCAATTCAATCATAGAGGTCGTCCGTTGACATGTCGCGCGAAATGCTCGAAGATTGATCACAGGGAGGCACTGTAAATCCTTCATGGTAGTAACGATTAGTAGGGACAACAATGGGCTGCTTGAAGCACATGGGGCACAAGTCCTTAGGTGTGCTTGAACAGCATGGCCGCCACAATCGTGGGGACAGATCCAAATGTACAAAATTCTAGCAACCAGTTTCCCCAATATCTAACCATGGGCATTTCCAGCTTTGGGGTTCCACACTTTGAGCATCTGAGAAAAAGAGCTTTGGGACCACCGGCCAGGTGCATTCCGCACCCCTGAGGATCGGCACCAAAGGATCAGATTGTGCCGGCGCCCCTGCGAGATGGGCGTTGCTCGATGAAGCTCTAAGCCAGCGTGAAGCACGCCCCAGCCACGCCGCAGGGTGGCTTCCATGGGGGGACCTTCAGCACTGGTTGCCAAGCCGTAGTAGACCACATTGCCACCATCCCATGTACCTTACAGATTTCATGAAAAGATTCACGTCATCTCGAGCGGGTCTGGGCTTGATGACGTATGATACAATGCATGAGCCTAAAACAACCCAAAGCAAAGCAATTGGGCGGAGCAGGGCTCTGACAAACAATGTTTATTGATGTTTATTGACAAGTTTTGGAGAAGTATGGAGAAGTGAATAATTTTAAAAATGGAAGCACATCCCCCATAGCCAATCGACCACGTGCTGATCCACTGACTGAGGGATAGCTCTTACTGGCCTAGGTGCCACCGATGTTGATATTCAGAGTGACCTCTGCATTGTCGTAGTGCATGGCCAACTCTTTGTCACCTAAGCATTTTAAGCATTGCGTGCTTGGACGATGATTTCCTCTCTCGAGCAAAATCCGCTCATCTTTTCTGCAGAACTGGAGTCAAGCGTGTATTGCCACCTGTGCCCAGTGACCATCCCGCTCCGCCTCGTAAAGGACTGTGAAGGCGCGGTAGGAGTCCAAGCATTCACAAAAGGCAGGGAGAAGTCGCGTGGCCACCACATTCACATACCTGTTTGAAAACAAGACCGGCGGTAGCATGCTCAAGGTGATCATGACATGCGTCAACGTTTGTCTGCTCTGCAACCTGTATCTGGAATCCGTTGAAGCACAACAAAGCTCAAATTCCAGCAATTGAGCCAAGGCACTCAAAGACCAAAGGATCAAGCAAATGCTCACCTTGATTGAAACATTAATTAAACATGCAAAGCTTCAGATTGGACTCTAGTTCCGTGAGTTGCACTGGGTTGGGGGGGCCCTGTTCAGCCTGTCATCCAGAAACAAGATTCCCGGAATTCATGGGAGCCATTCTCTGTGCTTCAACTTCAGCAGCCTCCGTCCGTTGACCAGCATCAAAAAACATCGGGCAATCCGTAGAGGTGGGATTGCTTTTGATCCGGCTCGAATTGGGACTGCATTCTTGTCGTGGCTATTGCTGCTTTTGGTGTTTGTCTAGTCTTTTCGAATGTCTTGCCACACACATGCTGGGTCATCAATTGCACATGGCACGATGTATGGATGCTTTGACTTGGAGGGTAACATGTGCTGACTCGGGGTTTCTCCCGAGTCACAAAAGCCCAACTCAGACATAATGATGCCGAATCGGTTCATGGTGTTGGGCGCGGTGCGCGGCAAGCCTCAGTTGTCAACATGGTGACATTAGAGCGGGAACACAAGAATTTAAAGGCTTCCTGTTGCAGAAACGAAACTGCACGAAACTACAAAGAGTGAATGTGCAAAAACCAGTTAATAATTTAATACTTATTTATATAATGTAAGTAATCCTCTGAGTGACCGGAATCATGAAAATTGCGGAGTTCACATTCCAGTTGATCACAAAAGGCCTCTGTAAAGACTGGGAAAGTCCAAATTCCTGGCCGAACCTCTTCCAAGATCTTTCGTTCTTTCGCTCCTCTTTTGGAATTTGACACCCCCCTCTCTCCAACTAACTCAATCAAATTTACAAATTAGATGCAAACAAGGTTGAGCAATACAAACTTAAAGCTAGGCTACAGTTGTGTAAACTTTGCAGTCAAGCTTGACATTTCTGTACCGAGGCATGCACCACCATGCACCACATGGTGTGCATATACAAAAGCAATCAAAATCACAATGCCCGTCCTGAGATCACCTTGGCTCCTGGCTTGCGCATCTCCGCGACAAGTTGACGAAAGCCATCTTGCAGGTAGGAAAGCTCATCCAGCTTGTAAACCTCTGGCCGCAAAGGGGTGTACTCGTTCCTGAGCGCCAAATGCCAAGTTCAGTCCAAAACATTTCAGTTGAACAAATATGCTAGTGACATCGGAAAACACAGAACATGCACCACATAAAACCCTCAGTATATGCACCCTCAGTATAGTCATATTATATTGATTCATATGTATGTATAATATATGATTGTCTGTGGGTTGTTCACTTCCTCTTGTGTTTCACTAAAATCCACCAGGGAAAAGCAAACACAGAAAACACGCCACGCATCTGGATGCGCTGCACCCGCTGCAACGACTCCTCTGGTGCCTTGAGACGCTCCTGGCGCTGCCTCCGTAGATCTTTGAGGACCTCCTCCTCCGACACGCCGAGGTCCTGGAGCTCCTGGCGATGCTCCTGGAGAGGCGCGGCTTCGGCTTGGCAACCTACAAGCAATGGCCTCCAGCCTAGTAGCCATGGCCTCCAACTCCAACCTAGTAGCGATGGCCTTCAACCTAAGAGCGATGGCCTCCAACCTCGCTTGATGGGAAGCGGAGTATTTAAATTTGACCCTGGGAACACTCTCCCACATTCCCACCCCTTCAGCCAAACTCTGGGAAGTCATCCGCGTTGCGTAGAGATCAGCATAGTATCAGTGTATCAGCATTGACTTGGTTGTCTTGGTCTTGGTGTGTCTGGAGTCTGGAGGCAGTTGGCCTCTGTGAACTTTGCTGAACATGCCGCAGCAGCAAAATCAAGTCAAACATGCGCTGTTCATTGTCGCAAATTCTAGCGTTTAAGGAGCAGGGTGGGCGCATATGACCTGGGTAGATCTTTTTCCAAGCGTGCGGCAAACCGACAGCGCGTGAAAGTGTGCGAGTCTGATGCTCTCTTGGAGCACGTCTCCTCCAAGAACGAAGCGTCATCGCCAGTGTACGAGAAGTGCTTCTCAGCAGATCGGACAAAATAGTTTTGTGTAGTGCGACATTGGCACATCCTTGGGCTTAGAGGGAAGGAATCCAACGACTGAGTCGTGTGTGTGTGTGTCTTTTGAGCCCGCTCCTACTTACTTAAGCAGGTGCCTCCTTAAGCCTAGATTCTTACATTCTCCAGTCTTCTCCCAAAAACTGACACCCTGACATATTTCCTGCTAATGCGGTATTGGATGGAAAGCCTGCCAAACTGTTGCCTAAGCAAATCCGGCAAAGCCAATACAATCTCTCACTGCCCTCCGCCATTCGCCCCGGCTGTAGGCCCATTGCCAAGGCGGCAACACAACATATTCAATGCAAATACATTGTTGCAAGAAACATTTCCGTCTGGTCAGTTGTCCATGTCTGGTACATGTGCTTTGAATGACTCTGCAAGCGTCGGTAGAACAAATACATAAGCAAATGACTGCGTATCTTGAAGCCACAGCTGCAACTGTCGTTGAAGTGTTAACTAAGTCTGGGCACCAGAACAAAAGGTGGAGGCTGTGCCTGGCCCTTCTAGCTCTTGATGATGTTGGATGACATCAGTGTCTGAATGCCCCACACCACAAAAAGCATTTTGTGACTAGTCCGTGTCCACGTTCCCACACTAAGAAGTGTTTTTGCAATCATCAACTTTCCCCCCGCACTTTCGACATTGATCTTAACCAAAAGTCTGAAGCCGGGCTGGGTGCTGACCAGCTTGGAGACCACTAGGGGGGGTATCTATTCGTCTGCTTTGCAGATTGGGCAGAAACAATGGCCCAAGTGCAACTTTGCAGCTTGTCTGGCTTCTTGGAAGCTCTTTCAACCTTGCCCACAGCCTCATTGTCTTTGCAATGCGGCAAACCGTTGCTTTCAGAATTTCACTATCTGGAGCAATCACTGGCCTGGCAGCACTGCGTACGGCAAGACACAGAACCATGGAGTTCTCAGATCTCGAAGTGAGCGCATGGTGCTCTCATTTTCTATAATTCTTGAGTGGCCCATTCGCAGTCCCAAGTGGAATGAGTGTTAACCGGTGAGCGTAAATTGCGAAACTCGCCAATTCAACAAGCCCTATCTCAACTGTGCTGATGTATTATCCAACTATAGCTAGAAGCGTTATGCAACAGGTTCCCATGACCGATTCTGACAAAAGCCACGAGGATGTATACTAGCAAGCGCGATGAAAACCACTGCGTCAAATTCTGCACGTGAATCTGTCCAGGTGCCTCTATAAATGGGTCTTCACCTCAGCCAGCGTGGCATCCATGCGACATCATGCAACGCACGCCCAATTCATGGCGGTGCGTTTGCTGGTTTCTATTTGGCTGGGTGCCCGGTTGTAGTATCTGCACGATGACTTGGTGAACCAAGGACTTGATAGCAAAGGTTCTATGGTCAAGCCACGGGATTGGGATAGAGATTCTTCGCTTTCGCCCATCATATCCTGTCCATGCCTGGCGGCTGAGTCGCCTTCTGAGTTGCCTTCTCAGTCTAAATCTATGCTCATTTCAATCCATGGTCAATCCAAACTAAAACCCTTCAAATCCTTCAAGCAAACATATTGATGTTACTGTAAGTCTACTGTAAGTCACACACGAGGGCTCAAACGTGGTGAGTTTGTTCTATATAGAATCCGGCATGCCCTGCACTGAAATCCATTGGAAGCAAATTGGTCGTAGGCTGGCCACAGGTTAATCCATTTGTGAAGATCACAAGAACTCATCCGTACCGGTCCCCCATCCAAACGCTTCCTGTCATCAACGCAGAAGATGGTGACAATGATGCCCAGAAGCGCGCAAACGGCGCAACAAATGAAAACGAAGCTAGTGCCCGCTGCCTGGGACGCGGAGCGAGAATCTGAATCGGATGGCTGAGGAAGGGAATACGGTAAATAATGCCACTAGACCTCTATGCATTTGGTGTCCTAGGCTGTCCAAGCCTTGAATCTGGACTGAAATCTGGCGTGTTGCTGGCACTTCGGGATCGAATTGGTTGGTGGCGCGCCAACATTGAGCGAACAAACGGCCAACGTTCCAGGAGTTCACCAATGCCGTTGTAACGGTTACAGTATCCTTGTGAACAAAAAAATCACGCCGACTGGCTTGCAAAACGCTCCTGTTAGGGGTCAAGCAAAGGTGCTTATCTGCTTATCCTGCAAAAGTGGTACATATTATGACATATTCAACAAATCTCCCACGATACAAAGCGATATTGCGAAAAAAAAATTTCCGAAGGGCTTGAACAACAAGTTAACTCTCAGTTCTTCACCAAACACCAAAGCAGTATACTAGTATATATCAATTCCCACATGTCACCTCAACTCTGTGGTCTAGTTACAGCTAGTGAGAGTCTAGTTTGCAAGGTAAGTCTCATAGTGCCACGTCACTGTTATCAATGGCTTGAACATCGAAGAACCCACAACAGCACCAGTCTTCCCCATGGCAGCGCAGAAGCCATTCAGAGATGAGCGCACATGTTGAGGAAATGACTCCGAGGGCAGGATGAAGGTAGTGCTGTTGGGGCCGAAGTTGCTGAAGAAATACCTCCATTGGGACTGCTGCCGCTGTGTTTCACGAGCTCAATTGATTCATATTCACATCATCCATCATGCATGCTACATGTTTTACGAATTCAATGATGATTGACCATCTAAGCTTCCAAGAAACTGACCTGAATGTAGGACTATATAAGACAAGATGCGTTAAGCCATAGACAAAGAGGAGCAATGCTGGAAGGTCCTCCATACCATCCAAGAACGCAGCCAAAATGGTGTACAACCTCAGGTACGTCACATTCGACTGCATTGCAGTGCTTCAAGTAGCCCCCCCCCCCCAACTGCATTATCTCTGTGCTGCTGAATGATACCCAAATAAATTTCAATCACTCCTGCAATGGAAGATCCACAAAACATCAATAGAGCTTCTATTTTATTTCACCAAGCAGCATCGCCATCATGCCAAAGCCCTGGATTTGAATGTTCTTCCGGCCCAAACGATCCATAAAACAAACAGACACATAGTAGCCCGGCAGCCCAAGAAGCGCCAGGATTGCAAGTTGCCAACACAAGTTGTTCTGAAGTTTGCTTCCAATCACCGGGGTTGATGAACCGGTGTCGACATGGAACACATCTTGGAGAATCGCAGGTGCAAACCTCGAAACATCACCACTGATGATCAAAAGCACGCCGAAGGCAAGTGCCATGAACAGCAATTCTGAACCGAACCGAGCACAGCACAACACACAAACCAACCCTGGTAGCAAATAGCATGTTCAGGATTGTTCAGGTACTTTATGAGGTGGACATCGAAGGCTCTTGTGCTACCCAGGGACAACGAGTTTCCGTAGAATGTGATGTCAAACAAAAACCACCCTCCTGCACAGCCGAGAATGCTCCGCCAGTAAGCACGATTGCTCAAAGCCTCCACAGACACAGTCAACACAGCCGGTCACAACCGGCCATCAAGCGAATCAAGGAACCACAAAGGAACACCTTTGCAGAAGACGCACCTGCAGCATGCTAGGCGCCTGAGATGTGTCTGGTCGGGCAGCTTGGCTATCAGCTCGTTGGAAAGGCATCAGCAAAATGCCTTTGTTGGAAGTGCAGCTCAGCCGACTCTGCAGGAATTATATAGTCATCAGGATTCATCAAGTCATCTAGTGGGTACTGCAACCAACACCCAATGAATGCTCATGAATCAATGTCAAACATTTTGGACTTCAATCCTACCCCGTCAAAACCCGAAAATCCTGGAACCCACCCTGAAGAAAACACGTAAGGAACTACTGGAAATATGGTTGCTTTTTGAGGCCAATTGGGCTCTGGTTGTTGGTCCACTCCCACATATTTGACTTCCTGCCTGGTAGAGCTCCAAGGCCAAGGATCAAACGCCAGGACAAACCCTTCACATTCATGACTGTCTTGGTCTTCTCATGCTCCATGCCATCACCTGGAGACCATTATTCAATTGATGTCCATTTGTCATTTTTTAGCGTATGCTGCTCCTCATCATCGCCCATTTCCATCGTTCCCTTCAAGAGTTCCTTTTTTGCTTTCATGTTTGCCAACTGTTACAGTGTTGACTTGGCATATTCAGAGATGCAACAAACCGCTTGGACAGTTGCGCACTTGAGATGTGGGTCCACAGTGAAGAAGCAGCACGCAAACTGCTTGTGTCACACTCGCTAATTACTTTCTTAGAAACAATGCAACCGAGGAGCCGAAGGTGTAAAGACAAATCATGCCCACTACTGGCACCAAAAGCTGCCCAACACCTTGCATCGAAAAGACCAAAGCCACCGAGCGGCCGCGGTTCCTTAGGTAAAACAACCGTCCATGTCTAGCGCCTAAGCGTAAGCGGATGAGTATGCGGCCTCATCTGAAAACCTACACCATCTTCAATTTGCAATGAGGCATGTCCTGCCTTTCCTCCAAGGTTCGAGCTGCTAGAACCTTCAGCTGCAACAGTGGCTGCCAAGGGATAGACTCCACCAACCCCGATGCCCAGGATGAAGCGTGCAATGCTCAAGAAAATAAAGACCTTGGACAACAATACAGGACAGCACACCTCAAGGACCTGGTTTGTGTTCTTAAGCAATGCTCCCCGAAGTTTGCGAAGACATTGCAAGTATCTATTGAAGACCCTACAGTGACAGCCTGCTTCTGCGTAAGGAGCGGAACCTCTTACAAACGATGCGAAATTTCTAGACACGCACCAAAGCATCTTGGGTATATACATATATACATAAAGAGAGAGAGAGAGAGGTGTCTTCTATTATATTCTGCTTTGGTGGACTATGATCATTCGATTGGCGCACACGGTTCTGAAATGTTCTAATCAGTAAACATAGATGTCCGAACAACAATACTTGTGTAGTTTGTCTGGGTGCTTCTGTGGCTTCCCTTTGCCGAGCATGAATTCCAGCCTCTCAGGCGTGGGCTGACGTGGGATCTCGAGGATTTAATGGCACTGCAAAGGCTGAAACCAATGCACCAGTGGTTGACATGACCATGGTCAAGTACAACCTCAGTAGCGAAAATAGGGAAACATGGTCCAAGGGGTCGCCTCATGTTTTTCCTGTTGTCAAGTACAAAATCAATAAAGAAATCACGAATGAGACTCGTCAATAAAAGGAAACTAACACATGTATATACATGTATATACTGTATAATTATACTCAATAAATCTAGTCCAAGGTCAAGCTCGGACCCCCTTAACGACACCTGCTCCGGTTTCCAATGTCTTTGGTGCAGGGTGCACTCCAAGCGTTTGAGGAACAAAGCGCATGCCCTTTAAAGGTTTTATGATGCTTGATCCAAAGAAACGCAGGCCCTCGACCGAGCCAATCACCAACATATCCTCGGCTAACACGTTTGCCATGTTTTGGTGAGGAAAACTGTAGGCAAGTGAAAAAAATACGCAAACTCCAACATCCGGAGCAAGTTTGCACCAATCCAACCATAAAGGTTATGCCTCGAATAACATAGAAACGTATCCCCATTACTCATAATGACAAGAATCCAAAAGTCAGCTGGCCAAAAATGGCGCCAGCCAAGCACGCGGTGCTGGTTGCAGCAATTGAAGCATTGCAGTGTGCCTTCAGCAAATACACAGAATTCATGAGTAAATGGTGGCATGTGTTGAAAAAGGGGCCATCTGAGCGGTCAATGCTGATCTCATCTAGGGGCATCAACATGAAACAAAGCAGCTGAAAGTCCAAGAATCAAGTTTGAAAGCCGACTTGAACATCATGAAACATGAATCATCATGACAATCATTATGACTGCTCGAATCCTTGTACTGGGTGACTGTACTATGCCTGTTTGTGGGCAGCAGGTCGGACCGCAGGTGGATGCAAGCGATACGACACGACAGCAAGAATTGGCAACACAACAAACACAAAAGCTTGCCGCCCAGGCTGAAGGAGCAACAGGAATATATAAATTGAACAACATCTAAGCACATGGCGCCGTTGCAAAATTCATTCTCCATAATCTCCTGACTGCATTTGACAAACACTGCAATGATAGCATCAAGCTTGTACGCGCCAAAGGCAAAAATAGTGGTACTGATCAGGTCATGAGCACTGAATAATTTTTGTTTGCTCTCAGATTGACATTGCACGACGCATGAGGTGTTTGCGTGGGCACAAGGCAAACGAATCACATGGAGCTAAGTGACATTGGTCAAGTTGACATTGACCAAGTTGTATGCTGTTGAGAGGTTGCTGATGGCGGCAATGATGGTTGCTCGCATCTGACAGGTGCAGCTGCATGCAGTGCGTGCAGCACAAAGAAACAAACAGGTCATAATGAATCAGGAACAAACGTGTCATTGGACTATTCGGAGGATTCCTTCAAGTAAAGCAATCGACGGAAACAAACCAAGAGTTCCGCACTTGCCCGTGTGATCAGAGTAGTGCATCAAGCCAAGAGTCCTGCTTGGGATCAGTGCTCCCTGCAGTCTCTTCTGGACTGCCTTCGCGGATTTCTGCTGCCATCGTGCCTACTATCAACCCTAACTCTAACTACAGTAAGTGCTTTGGTGGCTGTATTCGCAGTGCTTGAAGTTTGCAAAAGCCTTTGACGCTTGTGTGGCTGCAAACATGATCAGATCATGGTCAGACCACAATGTAGTCCAGCATGATGTGCACAGTGTACAAACTGAACACCTCAAGGTACTGGAAGCAAAAAGGGCCTCAAAACCAAAACAACCAATAACCAATATGCCAATATGCTGTTCGATCACGCATGTCGCCTGGCCCAAACTCCATAGCAAGTTGGCCCCAAATACACACTTTGTTGACGTCATTCCTTGCCCAAGTGCTGCTGCATTTTGCTGTCACAGCCCTTGCATGCCATTTTTTAATCTGCAATCTGCATATTAATTTGCAATAATTTACAAACATGTTGAGCCGGCAATCCTGACAGACTGACTCCGTTAGTCTGAGAAAAGGGTGAAGCAACAACAGCAACTCTACACAGCTCCACCGCAACAGAATCTGCAAGGTAAACTGCTTATGGCTGAAAAGGCACGACACCCTCACATACCATACTTCCCAACCTGTCAAACACCTCGACGCAACCGACTTACACATAGTGTAGGAAAGAATTTGGCCGACTGCTTTGAGGGTGTCCAGTCAGCCATTGTGTAAAAGGATGCATCATGGCAAAGGCTTTCTCAAGAATTCTCGAGTTGTGTTTTGTCATCCAACTGGTCCAACTGCCGGACAAAGGACAAGAGCAAAGGGAGCAGTTCAACATGCATGAAACATAGAATTCGGACCTCGTTGAATGCAGGACAATTGTTGCTGCAAAGCCAGCCTGTTGCTGTAACAGTCACCACAATAGTACCCACAAAATATTACATAGTTCACCCAAAATGAGAGCTTTCGCTAGGCTACATCCCACAGGAACCCAATACATTACCAGCCTTTGCGATCCGACACATTCTTTCTATCTGTGTTGACTTTGTGATTGTCCACCATTTGCCATTGTTTTGGAGGCGGCGGTCAGGAGGACTGGGCTCCCGGGGGCGGCTGGCTCTCCAAATTGAAAAGTACATATGTTTGGGATCCCTTTTCATTTTTCAGTTTCAATCGAGGGCTTTCAATTGGGTCGTTGCTGGTACTAATCTTTTGGTTTGTGATTCCTGGTGCAATCTATTGTGCTCTCAGTTGTGATTCCTGGTGCTTGTTTTTGCTATCGCCGCTGTTAGCGACCCAAGAGCAAATCGCGATTTTATGGTGCTGTCAGGTTGATGCTTCCTCGTTGATGTGGGGTGGGGTGGGGTGGGGTGGGGGGTGGGGTGGGGTGGGGCATGTTAACGTTCGCTTGCACTTGCGTCACGAAGTTGATGCTTCGTGGTTGATGTGGGGTGACGCAAAACGCGTCGATCAATATGTCCGCAGTTTTCGGTTTCGGTGGAACAACCGAGGACATTTGCTTGAGGCGTTGGCCCGAACGTGGCCGCAAGTGTAAAGAAAATACACCTGCAAAACGCGTGCGCGCCAAAAAAGAGTGCACTTTCTGCTGTTCCCCAATCTAAATTCCACCTTACAAGTGCTGACCCTTGTGAAACATGGGATGAAAGCACATATGATCCAAACTCTCCCAAAAATTAGAAAATGGCTGTCCACTTTGGCAATGTGCGAATCGCACAGGGTCACTATTAGCGGCGGTACCTTGTTTTTACCACCGGGTCGGAAACCGTGTAGTCGTGCTACCTTTTTACAATCGATATAATGCTGAAATTGTCCGACCCGGTGGCCATGGATGTTAATGTTATGTAGAGACCATGATGATTTTTTGATGAGTTGTTGATGTGATGACAGAGGTTCGGGGGGGTTGGGGGGGGCGCTGGTTTCGTTCGTGTGATCAGTAGAACACGATGGTGATGAGTTATTGATGTGACGACAAAAGATTCTACGGGAGGTTTGGGGGGCACGTTTGGGGGGGGGCTGGTTTCGTTCATGCACCAAAGAACTGTCTCAGGAATTGTGAAGAGGCAGGAAAAAAGAGCGCGAGTTTTTCGGTGCCGTTCCTATTAGCCTACGGTTTTTTCAACTTTTCCGAAAAAGCGAGTCACAAAACGAGACCCCAAATTAAGAAAAATACATGTCAATTCTACAACAAAACACATGGCTTTGTAGGGAACACAGTCAGGCTCCGTGCATTGATCACACCCACTGACATGAAACACGTGGGTCTTTACAGGGTTTTTGTGGTTTGGGTGACTTCCTCATGTTCAAAATTGCACAACACTCCCTGTTCAGCTTCCCGCCCGGAGGGTTGTTTTTGTGCTTCGGTTTGTGGTTTCTGGCGCGACATTTCGTGATTGCTGGTGCGAAATGTTGTGCTTCCTGCTGCTTGTTTCTGTGATTTCTGGTGCGAAATCTTCTAGTTGGCGGAGCTGTCTTTTTGCCGGGTCTGGGTGGGGGTGGAGGTAAAGCTGCTTGTATTGGTGTGTGGGTAGAGGGCCGGGCCTGGGTGAAATGATTTAACGGAAGGGCAACAAATTAAAAATAAGGAAAGCGAGACAGGCCCAGGACGCCAATTGGATGGGCTTAATGAAGGCCAATTCCAGGAAGGTTCGCTGGTGCAAATTTTTGGCGGTTGGACATAGAGACATGGGTCATTATTTTACTATAGTAGCTAGTAACAAGAAGCTAGTAGGGGCTCCTGGCATCGCTACTAGGAGCAAGGACGCTACTAGGGGCTCCTGGCCGTACTACTAGGAGCAAGTAGCTACTAGTAACAAGAAGCTACTAGGGCGGCGGCGGCGGGGGCCGACTCCAAGCACGAATCTGCCTGAGAACAAAAAGGATGTGCTTTGCTCGGTGATTGGGGGAAGGCCAACCAAGCAAAACAAAACAAACGACCGTTCGCAATAGTCCCTGCCAACTCGACGTGATGCCTTGCTTCTGAAAAATGTTGCAACCCTTGTCTTGCTCCAGTTTATTTCCAGTTTTGCCACTTTGGACAAGATCGATGATCAGCAATTATATAAATGGTGAAATCAAGGTGTGGCGAAGTTACATTCACTCCCGAAACTCTTGATGCATGATATCTATACAGCGAAACTTGGCACCGAGAGATCATGAGAGAAAAAGAAACGGCCAGCAATTTATTTTCACCTTCGGTGAGAGCAACTGGTTTGCCAATTGTGTTCTCAGTATCAATCTTCACCTGCATCCTCTCCATCTTCATGTTGACCACGCTTCACTGGGATCTCAGTTGGGACAATGGTGAGGGTGTCTGCACACCATTCAAAGTCATCCCAGGCCATCCAAAAAACGCCATCGGTTTTCTTCCCGCTTTTCAACTCCACAGCAAGTTTGGGATTCTTTTTCCACTCCTCACCCTCATCTTTCCAAGGGCCTTTCCATTCCTCAGATTTGCACGAGTCAAACCATTGACTTGATAGATTCCAGCAAAGAATGAGACAAAAGCGGGAAAATTAGAAAGATTGCACAAAAACAAACAAAAACATTATGATATATATAAATACAAGCAAAGCTAAGGGGTCGCAGCGGCCCCAAGGGTTACGCAAGCAAACCATCCTCGTGGGATCTTCCCAAACCTCCCCGGGAATCTCCACAGCTTGCAGCACCGTGTATGCGTGGCGTGGCATCAAGCCATCCGGACGAGTGCCATACAAAGGACGGCCCTGAGGATTCGCACCTGGAAGGAAGCACGGCCCTACATGCAATATTGGGATATATTGGGCCCATCCCATGAGTAACAATGGATGACGATGGTTAGTAAAGGCATTCCAAAATATTTCATACGCGCAGTAGTTTACCGACTGTTCAGGCAATAGGACAGACCCAAATGATATACATCATGCCCAATGGATGTGAACCAACGTCTGTGCTCAATGATTTTCATTGCAGCTATATACCGGTTTCAACGCGGTAGGTCAATTCTACCTGGTGCATCAGAAATTCGAGAATATATATCATTTGAACAACAGTTGGTATTAAAACACAACATTGGGGTTGACACGCCGACATGTCCTTGAACAGCTGTTCAAAGGCCCTTTGTGAGGAAGTCTGTCGGACAAAAAAATATGACACGGAACAACCTGTTCTGCATCTTTGCCACCTCTGAATTCGAAGTTCACCACGATCAAACTGTTGCTTTTGTCTGCTTCCATCAGCTTAATCCACATGTCGCTTTCCTTGGGCCAACGCCAAGGCAAACAAACACAAACCAAACAACACAAAAACTCACTGACCACGCAAGGAGATAAACAACTAAGGTTCCAGTAGTTTGATGTCTTCCTTTTTGAAGCTGTCCCCGACGCTGTGGACAATCGAGCCCCATTGGATGTTCGTGCTGCGTTCCGCCACCTTCTCACCAGCCGTGTAGTAGTTGATCCAACCTTTTCGCACGACGTCGAAGACTCTGGACGGAGCGCGGGAACAATGAGACAGGGAACGCATGGGAACACTAAGTTTTTTCGTCTTCTATAGTCCGTCAAAACTTGACGACGGAAACCATTGTTTCATTGTCATCTGCTGCTCGCGCCTTTCAGGTTTCAAATCATGGAGCTGTCTCTTTCAACAAACCGCACGCCAGAAAAAAAAAAAACACACATGCAAAATACACGTGTCACACACACGCACACGCACTCGGAACAATGCGTACGGAAACTGATCACCCCAAAGCCCTGGAGAAGTGTACTGTAAGTGAAGTGGCCCTGAATAAAACATATACGGGGGTCTGAGCATCCTGAAGTGTCGAAGTCCCAAGAGCCTCGAGGTCAACTCACGAGATTCACAGCTTGCGTTTTTGCTGGAAAAATTGTTCTGCTGACAAGCAGGGACCAGCAAGAAATGAATGGTATCATCAACGCAGGTATGTTTAGCTGGCCATGGTGGATATCCCATTTCACTGGTAGCTTCATGGGGCACAGTCTCAATGAAATGCGGTTCCCCTGCTCTACCTAAACATGACCAACGGTCCCTCTGACTCCAAGGGATACACGCACAAACACACACATCTACACACTTTGATAGATGCTCGCAAGAGCTGGATCAGTTGACAAAGCCCCCCTTTAGTGCAAATAGACCTTGCTCAAACATGCAGAACGGAAAGGCGATGGAGTCCGGAAATTTGGAGATGTTTCAACATTGTTTTCCCCCAGTGCAACTAGACCACGACTCAAAAATGCAGAACGGAAAGGCGATGGAGTTCGGAAATTTGGAAATGTTTCAACATTGTTTTCATCTTGCATTAGCACTTTAGAGCTTGATTAAAAAATAAATTGGTTGACCGGAGGCCCCCCACCTGGCTCCGGCCCCCTGCTGTGTTGTGGGGCGGAGGGGCTTCCTGTGGTGGACTGGGTTGGGACAGGTTGCGGGCGATGGTAACCAGGCCATAGTGGGCTGTGGTGAAGGGGGGGGAGGCAGCAGATTGGGTTGGAGCGGTGGTGCCCAGGTTGACAAAAGACGTACTTCCGGTGAAATCATCGAAGATGTAAGTTGGGAGCCAAACATAGAGGAGGACACCGGTAAAAACACGATGCCATAGTGTGGTTGGTGTGGTAGAGCATGGTATTGGGCGGGCAGAGCCGGACCGTAGGATGCCGCAGGGACCGTCATCGATGGAGGCGGCGAGGTCCACTGGTAGTTCATGGCGTCCCACTGGTAGTCACACTGAAGAGAAGTGCTGATTACACGGACAACCTACCCATGAAACTGGCCTGTGAATACTTACCAGTATGAGATGGACATGTGAATACTTAGCAGCATGTGAAGATCCAAACTGGAGTCTATCTCAGTATATCTCAATAAGCCCTGCGGCGTTTAATCAGCAGTTCCGTAAGCCTGTGGGGTTGCAGTGAAGGTCACGGGAAGGAAAGGCGCAATCAGAAGGGATCCCCCAACAAATTGGGTCTACGCACATGCTGAGTCCCTCGGTGGGGCTCACACCACAGCCCGCAGTGGGACTCTGTGGCGACACACACTTTGATAGATGCTCGCAAGAGCTGGATCAGTTGACGAAGCCCCCCTTTAGTGCAAATAGACCTTGACTCAAAAATGCAAAACGGAAAGGCGATGGAGTCCGGAAATTTGGAGATGTTTACATTGTTTTCCCTTTAGTGCAACTGGACCATGACTCAAAAATGCAGAGCGGAAAGGCGATGGAGGCCGGAAATTTGGAGATGTTTCAACATTGTTTTCATCTTGCATAAGCACTTTAGAGCTTGATCAAAAATTAAATTGGAAAAACGCAGGTACGTTTTCACCCAGGTGGGGGGTGTCTTCATTGGCCGGAGACCCCCCACCTGGCTCCGGCCCCCTGCTTGTACTCGATGCTCCACTCGAAGTGAATTCATCTAATTACACATGGAATGCAGAAACCTTAGAGACAGGTGTTGACACACAAACACACACACACGGACATATATAATCATATATATATAATGTATACCTGAGAAGCAAGGGGACGAAAGCCAGCCTTGTTAAACATGGTTCTGGGGGTCAATTGGAGAGCGCACCGCGAGTGCTGTCGGGAATGGGGAAATAAATGGCAGAGGTGGAAAGTCGCAGTAAAGGCCGATACGACAGGCTTTCATTCACAGGTCGGGGGTTGGGGTGCCCCTTTTCCTTCCCTCAAGGGGCGTTTTCAAGACAAAAATGGCACCCTTAAATCCTTATGTAACTGAGGGGCGCTTGCCTGCACTTGTTTGGTCTTGTCTTGTAGATAGACTCATAAAGTCGGCGTGCTGCTAAGAGTGGACCGAGGAAAGTGCACGGCCAAGATCATGTGATTGTTTAACTTCGGCCGTTGTTATGGGGGACGTCGACATTGCAGTGATGCTAAAATAGAACGCAGAATACATAGGTTTGTGGGGGGGGTGCCCTTTTTTCAATTTTTCCCCGGTTCAAGGGCGTTTTTAAGATGAAAAAGGGTACCACTGAGGGGCGCTTGCCCGCTGTTTGTTATTCGTGTCCTGTAGATGGACTCAAAGACTTGGCGGGCAAGATCAAGTGATTGGCTACTAACATCGGAGGAACGCAGGCCATCCCAGGCCCACCTGACTCAGCTCCTTCACCTTCAATCTTCTTGAACATGATACGATAGCAGTTTCGATCCAACTCCTCGAAGACCGCCTTACGTGCCAATGTCCCGATTTTGGTGCTCTTCGGGTCACATTGGGCACGAACCGTCAAGCCGCCCCGGCCAGTGACCTGCCAAAGAGATTTGCCACCTTGGATTGGCAACATGCTGCAAAGGAGTGAGGATAAATATTGACAACCTGACAACGAACAAACATTGATCTTCTAGATTCAACACGACTCCAAAATACCATACTATATAGCAGTATAGCAGCACTTGAGCATTCTAACACTAGAAAACAAGCCAACACAAAAACAAAGAAACGATCAAAGATTAAACTTTTGTTGACTCTGCATACCAAATCCCCCCATTAATAGGGTTGGCGACTCCTGAAATCTGCTGATCTGCTTCAGCCTGGATCTTCGAGCAGGCACAAACAAGTGCTCAACCTGCTTTTTGTAGCACGTTTTGATGAATCAGGCAGTTTCAGGGCAAACGAATAGATTTAGCTATAACGAGCAGTGTAAGCTAAAAACCGGCATTCATTCAAGCCGCACTTCCAGTGCACAGAATCGCACTCCGGAAATATATATATATATTATATATATATATACATACCCTTGCTATCCCTTGCTTCAGTCAGCTTCGGTGGGCGCTCGCACAGTTCCTCTCAATACACGCGTTAAGTAAATCGAGCACTTATACTCTTGCTCATTTGAAGGCCCAGGAGATTTGTCTTGGGGTCCTGTCCCCGTAAACAGATCAGTCTTGACGAGTGGCATCTAGCAGCTAGCATTGTTAATGAGTTAGTAACATGATTTGCCACAAAGGGGAATGTCGCTCTGGTGTCACCTTCATCAACTCAGCCAGGCCACCAGAGCTTTTGGTCAATGCGCGGACATTCTCCAGGTATGCTCCAAAGCGCTGCACCATGGTGCAACCTGTCAAGGCCGCAAAGGCCATGGGGGTCGTGCCGTAGTGCAGCTCTTGGTAGGAGCCGAAAAGCTTGGCGAAGGCCTTTTCCAAAAGCGGCACATACATCTCGCCATCTGAGAGATCTGCGAACATGGTGTGCTGGAAGGGTGCCTTGCCCTTGCGTGGAACACAGGGAAGATAGTCATCAACTTGGATAGTCTTCCAAGTCTTGGTGCTCTTCCAATCAAAGAGTTGTAGTTCGTATTTGCCATCAGCAGCTGCTTCTTTGGTGATGAAAATCTTCTCTTTCAGGTAGTTGGGATATTCGGCCACTGCAGCGATTGCAGCAATCAGCCAGGTATCCCCAAGCTGACCTTGACATGCATCAGTGGGTTCTGCCTTGTTGAAAAGCACTGGACTAGAGGACAAGGCTAAAGCCCTGACCCACTCACATTCTTCATCCGCGAAGCGTTGCCCAAGACTTTCGCTGGAGTGTGGGAAGTCAGGATCCTTCCATCCCTCGGGAACTTGTGCATTCAAAGTGGCATCGGGGTCAAAAGCGAACACGTCCATCATGAGGCCATCCTTTGACCAAGTCGCCAAATCTGGAGAATATCCTTTAGTCTTGCCACTGATTTCTGTGCCTGCATCATCGTCCTTGTCGTACGACAACTTCCAATACAAAAACTTCTCCACGTACATCATCCACATCTTGAAAACCTCACTCTTAGGTCGGAGCATCGCTATTAGGTTGGAGGTAATTGCTTCTAGGTTGGGGGGCAGAGCGGTCTTTAAAAAGAGATAAGAACATGTAAACAAATAACCATAATGCCGGTAGACCTCGTTGTAGTACAACGGTCGACCTCCAAACAGCTCCTTCGAATCCTTGAGGAAGGTGCCGTACTCCTTTACGAACATGGCCTTGGGGGCCTTCGCGATCCTGGTGACTAGGGAGGGCAAAAACAAACGTCGAAACCACACAATTCAAAACAAGGGCCTTTCTATGAGAATCATATCGTGAAACCCTCATATATAAATCTCATAAGCTCTCCAAATCTGTTCGAGAATCTGTTCTTCAACTGACAACGCCGGAGGCAAACTGCAAGTCATCTCTGGCTCGGGGAGAAATGCACAGCGTAGACTTCGCTCCTTCTTCTTCCAAACCTGCCAACCTGCTTCCAAATGAGGCGCCCCACTGGTCTTCAACCGGGCGCAAGACTTGCCGGCAGGACGCTTGTGGATCTGCCATTGTTCACGTGCCTTCCAGTAGAACAGAAAATACCTGCAACTCAGTCTTGCTGGATCTCTACTCGAAATTAAGACATGGTGAGATATCTTCTCATGAATTTCCTTTGGTCCTTGGGAGGCGTCTAAGATGAGAAACAAATCTTCTGCGTTTAAGGCACTTGTTGGCAGCGCAAAAGAAGACCGGACGATGACTGCAGAATTTGCCCTGCTGAACATAGACCCCGTTGATGTCTGCGCGCGAACACCCAGAGATCACGTAGGAAAAATCACCCACGACGCCCAAGCCAAGTCCAACGCTCTTGGGATCCTGAGGTGTGCGAGAAGAAACACAAGCACCGAATACTCCAAGCACCCAATATGAAAGGAGAAAAGTCTGAAAGAAGACTGTGTCTATTTTTGCTTGCAAGATCTTGCAAGGCTCTTCAGCAAAAATCCATTTCAGGAACTCCTGGATCTGCAACTTGCCATCTCCACTAGAATCTGCTTCCGCCAACAATTCGTCGATGCGTTCACTGTCCCAATCATCTGGATTCAATGACTGCAACACAGTGCCTACAGAAAGGGGTGAACAAGTTGCTCTCGTGATGGTTCCTTCAGCTTTGTCAATCTTTGTACCCTTGTCACCCCAAAAAAAAAAACAATAAGAGCACATCTTCCAAATTTATAATGCAACAACCTGGTGTCCTTCAACCAAAACATACCAAAACAATATCTCCAACATAAAGACCCAACCCAAACTCCGTCTGCCTAGCTCCTCGCGCGAGATGCAGCCGCTGCCATCCTGGTCGAAGCGCTTGAAGGCGTTGAGAACCACGTGATCCACCATGGCAAGCAAATTTCGGCGGAGGAGGCTAAAGGCTCCAATGATCAAATGTTGCAGGTTAGAAAGTGGGTGGAAAACCACATGCAAACACGCTGTTCCACCCACAGTGTGGTTGCTGATGAGTGTTCCTGTGTTTTCAGTGTTTTCTCCAAAATTTTATCAGAGCCACCGGACTCCCAGAATCCAAAGTCCGTTTGCAAGTTGCACAAATTCCTGGTGATGTTCGGGACTCAGGTGGAAACTGAAAAGGTGTCTCCAAGCAACGAGGGCCAAACACAACACGCACAATTTCAAACTGAAGACTGGTTATATATATATATACAAACAGAGAGAAACAGTTAAATAAATTACATGTATATAATGTGTATATATACTGTATATATATCTGTTCGAAAAAGTTCAGCAAGCCACAAGGAATATCCTGTTGTCCGAGGCTTTTTTTTTGTGCGACCCTGGGCTTCAAAGCAAACCTCCTGGCATTCTTTGGCACCATGTGGTGCTGCCGATGGTTTGGCTCAGTTCCCTCCTTCGCGTATCCTGAGGCAAAACCGGGTGCCCAAGGTGCCAAGTCCGGCTCCCTCAGGCACATAGCATGGTAAGGGGGCGTTAGGTCGTCGCTGCAAGCTGTTCCCTATTTGATAGCAACACGTGTATTTGCGTGCAATATGCACACAAGATCACAAGATAAGCCCCCTCTTGGCGGAGCATTCGAAGGCATTGCTCACCATAGTGACAGTAAGTTTTGAACAGTTGCAGGTTTGCATTACCCCATATTACCCACACCAAAGTGAACCATGTTCAGTTGCATTTTAAAGTTAAGCATTGCAAAAAGAATCCATCTTGAGAGGTAACTTGGAAGAAGGCAGGGCACATGTATTCGCAAACTATATCCTGACAAACGCGGACTGAGACGTGCACAGACACAACGCGCTGACACTTGTTCTGGCATGTGTTGTGACACATCATCCATCATAAAACGCTGGGAAATGTTCTGGATCGCGTTGCGGCGTCCAATTGGCATGTGCTTTGAGCTGGTCCTGCCATGAAGTCTGACATGTGCTGTGACATACAGTGGGGTTTCGGTTCGAAGTTCCGACTTCTGCCAGCAAGCCTGCCATTTGTTCCAACAGCTCTGACATAGTTTCTGGCATATGTTTTGGCATTCTATATGTACATTACGGACGTATATGGCATTCTGCCGCATATGTTCCGACATCCTTTCTGGGAACCTATCTGGCAAATGTTCCGGCTGAAGCTCTCTATGGTGTGCAGGTCCGCGTGCCAAGATTGAGCTGCCGCTCTCTATGGTGTGCTGGCACTCAGGCGCTGTGACATCACAACATCACAGGAGGAGGGAGTGCGAGGAAGGAAGGCGGAGCAACACCCTAGTAAAATCTAAAGACCCTGACCTGGCAGGTGGGGAACAAAGCTGATGCAATCGAAATACCGTATCTGCATCGAACCATGATGAACCATGTATTTCTGCTACCCCTTGTGACCTGTGTGAATAATCTGGGGAGCGTTACCATCGTATACATGTTATAGGGCGCGAGTAGGCAAATTGTAAATCATACGTCCATCAGTGCATTGGTGTGAAACCACAGACGGAGCGAAGCCCATGATTGCCACACTGCATGTTTGGCAAAGAAAGGTGCATTCTGCTGGTTCATTTGCAATTTGAAAGCTCCGGAATTCGGTCCTTTTGCGGCCTGCGAGGGTAAAGACCTCAACCAGCAACACTGGAGAATTTGGAAGCTGCCGTGGCCCAGTCTGTTGACATGGAGGTCCTTTCAAATGTCCTGGTCCCAACAGCAGTGCCAATTACTGTAAAACCTCCTTAGTGGAGCTAGTGTTGAGACAGCCTTCTCATGGTAACCTGCTTAATATTGCCAACCTAGAGCAGTCAATTAAAACTGATAGTCTGAGTTCTCTGCCTGGACGCTCAGTGCAACCACAACAGCTGCTGCCCCAACAATCCAATCAAATGGCAAACCTCTGAGTACCTGCACGAAGCACTCACGCATTGAAACCAATCTTTTCGCAACTCTGTCCTAGGTTGAGCCTGCACCTAATCTGACTTGCAATGGGTCTATGAACTTCGGTGGTTTCCTTTTGGCAGGGCATCCCTTATCAATAAACGCACCTTTTCCGCATGTTTCCAAGCTAGGCACGACATCATCGCAGCCATCACGCCACTTGTGCATGATTATTCAGGAACTATCACTGCTTCACCTCCTCCCCTTCAAGCGGTCTGTGAAACCAAGGCACAACTGAGCTATGAGGGCCGCTAGCAGCAAATCCCGCCGCGCTCTCGCCGCGTCTCTGCAGCACCGTAGCTAAAAGCCCCGGGTGTGTGGGAATCAAACAGGCGGTCGGCAGTCTGGTCCATGATGCTGTCCTTCGGATTTCACGGTCAACCAATCACAATCAAAGGCAGAAAAGTTGGTCCGGACATTTCAGGGGTGCCTGTCAACTAAGAAATTGATTTCCACTTGCCGTCTAAGTCGCTGACATGGGCACCTTGGCTAAAGGGTCATACTTGCTATATTTGGCGAAAGGGTCAAAGGATGAAGCTGCTCGTCCATGATCCGCAGCATAGTCATTGTAAAGATGCCACGAGAAAGCCGCGGCTAGGAAGTACACCAAAGGCACACTGATGATGAGAAGAAGACCGAAAATATCGAAGCTGAGAACCCCAGTTATGGCCGGAATCAACTCTGAGATGATGGCCATGACTCCCAGAACGACCGAGATCAGGCCCCACAAACAAACCCAGGTGATATTCAAATCCTGATACCAACCATACAAGCCGAGCAAGACTGAAACCGCCATTAAGACAGACTGAAGCAAATCAGTCTTGATGATTAGCTGGGCAACCACTTGCGCAGCTTGCAGCAGGATGATAAAGGCATACCAATGTCTTACACTACGTGCGTACTCTGTAGCAGGACCAACTTGCACTGGAATACAGAAAAGCCAGTGCTCATTAATCTGTCCGCTCATAACTCCCTCCGAGGCTTTCATCGTGGCCCATTCTACAGCATCCGTCATTCTGAGCAGCCAGCGCCCAACGTTTCAGTCAAATAGCGGCTCAGGGATGACGCCGCCCTGCTTCAGTGGACCGTCGAGCAAATTTGAGCGGTAAACAGCCAAAACACTTGTTCTGTGCAAGTCACATTGGGCCAGCTTTGCTGTGGGGTTGTTGAGGGCCACATCAGTAATGTCCATTGATTAGTAAACAACACCCTTATTCTACTCCGAAATAAACATTACGTAATCAATAAATGGTTCTAATTAGCGAGTAATGCGGGGTGGGTGTTCTTGGAATGGAGATGAAAGGGGGTTTGTACTGTGGGGATTTTTCTGGAATCAAAATGAAGGAGGGTTACTGCAGCATTGTGGAGTGAAATGTTTCTGGAAATGGAGATGACAGGGGATTAATTAGTATTCGGGAATTTGTTGGTGGGAATTAGGGTTGTGAATGTAGATTAGTGTTTACGAGGCTTCTTGGAGCCAAGTGGGAACCATTGGGCCCAAAAGAAAGGATTGAGAAAGTGTATTTCAGTCCAGCCATGGGGATTGTTTTTCAGTCCAACCAGAAGTAGCCAAAGAGTACTTAAAGAAATGACAGTCACAATCACTAAATCAAGCTAAGGGTGTTTTAGCAAAGGAAAAACCTTTAGCTTTACTTAGGGTCACGTTTTTTTGTGACTTTGTGTTTGCAGTATGATGGCTTCATGGGTGCCCCTTTCCAGATCTATGTTTGGTAATTGTTGATTGTTTTTGAGTCAGGGATTTAGAACAAAATGACCAACAGGTTTTGGATTTCGCGGATTTCAAGTTGTGAAGCAGGAAAGAACTGAATGAACCTTAAGGAGCACATTAAAGTTACACATATATAAAAGGCAAACACTATATAACTGAAATACAGCTAAGCTAAGGATGTCAGCGAAAATGTTTAGCATACGAGTTATTAGTGTGTGGTGCCAGTAAGCACGGAATCAGCAAAACACGGAATGAAGCAAATTTATGCACCTTCCACCGGAAACCATTGACACATGAATAGGAATGCAATTAAATCTTAATGAGACAGCAATGAATAACTGAACAAATGCGCATAAAAAAAGCACTAAGAAAAGAAGAACACATTCAACTGAGACAGCACTGAATATTTACAAAATGAGTCATTGAATACACATAGCCACATAGCTTTACAAAAACATGTGTTCTTCTTTATGTTTTCCCAAACAGGCTAATTATTTAGGGTTAGATTGCTAATTACCCGAGGGAGTTATTTATTAGTTTATCTTTATTTAGGGGTAGACTGCTATTCCTAGGCCAACATTGTCTCAATGTTTCCTATGCTGAAAGGCTCTTGGATCAGTTGTTTCAGTTGAGGCTCTAATTTCTTGAATCTTCAATGTCTCTTGAACGACACCGGGTCTTGTCTTGGTCAACACACTCAAGTCTGCATGGGCACCAAGTCGCCCAAGAAATAGATGATGAGGAGTGAGCAGCACTGCCTGGCAAGTCGCATGGCCAACCTGTAACCAGGACAATTTCAACCCTTCAGCCCTGCAGGACTCTTCATGTCCATGGTTAACTCAATATTTGTATATATATATACATATACACACACAACCGCATGTTTCAATGGGTTCTCTTGGTCTGCTTGGCGTCCTTTCCACCTAGGTGGGCTGGCTAGGAGCTCCCAATGTGCCGTGAAACTGCAGCGCACTTCACATCCATTTCTTTTTTGCTCGGTAAGGCCCAATCACCGCATAGAACTGATGACCATAATTTGCCGGCACCTTCTGTGAGCAAAACAAACACAGTTGCTTTGCAGTTTGCTCAGCTATAACTGTCACTGGGTCAAGCCCGCTAGCCAAACCCCCCAACACCAGCGGGAAAATAAGCATGCACACTATACAGTAAGAAAAACCCAAACAGGGACAGCGCTGCGCCACTGATCGTACCACGGTCGACAGGCCTTAGCCGACATGTTCCAAGCCGGCGGCTTGCCAGTGATCTCTATGCGATGATGTTGGCAATCATGGCAGTGTGCTGTGCATTGGCATTCAAAGCGAACATGACTCACTGGTCCCCAGCGCTTCGAGACGAGTCCACCAAGCCAGCTCTGGAACGCAGCTGCCTCACAGCATGTTGCAATGACCCTGATCATGGTCTTCGTTTATGCTGCTTGCGACGAAATGGCTAAAGTCCTTGACGCACAGACTTCAAACGGCTGGCAACAAAGTGTTTGTCTCCCTCGATTCAGGCAGGCACCGTCAGTGCCGCGGCCGTCTTGTAGCTCCAGCCAACAAACAACCCAGCCTGGCCCAGGCTAGTGGTTTGGCAATCTGTTTGCAGTTGGAGGAAGGACGTCAGGGTGCTCCAACACCCGTGAAGCCGCACTTCCCACCTGCATCTACTTCGCTGAGCCAACACTTCAGCTCTTGAATTTTCCCTGCCGACCCATGGTCCAAATGACCAACCGCCCCGAAACATGCTTTAGATGAACTTTACGGTCTTGGCTTTTCTGAGGAACAACAATTCAATTCAATTGGTGTTAAACTCTTGAAGTACTGTCCAAGACTTTGAGATAAACTCTACAACACCTCAAGTTAGGCCATGTTGGACCCCTCCGATTGATTCATACACGCCCGCCCGGTGAGATCCTTTTGACAATTGCTTTGACACCACCTGCCCGCACCTGTTCCAGAAATATTATGTGCAGTAGAAATTGCTTAAGCCGTATGTGCCTGTTGGAAACAAAAATGGCATGGCTGGGATGATAAACCAATGATAGCTCCACGGCGCACATTGCTTGGCAATAGATTCAAAAAACTGGAATATTCAAACACCTTGCTCCAGCATGACGTTCTGTAGTTTGTGGCCGCCTCCATTTGACCATTGGCTGGACGTTGCTTCCAAAAAGCATCTTCCGGGCGGGAGCTCAGGCTGCCAACCTAGTCACACAGAAAAGCATGACCAGTTTTGTGGCTGAGACCACGTTCATGGCCACACTCCCCAAATGATCTCCAACCAACACATCGCAACTGTCTGCAACCACATCCAATATATGACTTCCCGGGCAATTGGTAACTGTCGACTACTCCCTCATATTTACAAGCTTCATCTGCATCCAGTACCCAGAAGCGTGCGGGAAACAAGGTCAAGCTGTAGCAAGCCCGAATCATACCTGTAGTCTACATACCATGCGCATCCAACGTCCCATCAGGTCCCCACCACAAAGAGCATGGCCGTGGCTGTGGCCAGGCCACCGAACTCTAAGTGGACCTGGCACGAATGGAGATGGCCAAATAAAGAAACGAAACAGTGTGGCGCTTCAGCGTTCCAAAGAAATCTTTGCATTTTTAGACCCCGTATTAGTGGATATGGGCCCCTACCTTCCAAAAGCCACCCCATCTGGAAGCACCACAATATGAGCATTCTGGTGAGAAGTCATGGGCGTTGGCCACCAAAGGCCAAAGAATGCACCGCAGGGTGTGATACTTTTTGAAGGACCCCCGCTCTAGTTACAATTTGTTGCCCCTGAGTTGCCACCTATTGAAACACAATACCCTCGCAATTGATCCCAACATGGAATCCAACCCCGTGCAGACCCATGAACGTGCTCAGGAATTTCAATCACTTGGCGACACCCTATGCAATACGATATATAAACTAAATAAATATATATATATATAGTTATATATATATAAGGCACGTCAAAACGTTCAAATGATGGGGACCAAAAGCGATCAGCATAACAAACAACATTGTTTTCTTCATGGTCAGGGACTGCCAAATTTATTGATGGCTTTCCAAAGCTTTGACTTGTCTTTTTTGCTTGCTCCCTATGTGTTGAGGTGTCGAGCCTCAAAAATCCTCAACCGAGGCATATATCCTGAATGAGTACAATAATCTGACATGGTCAGTTTTCTTGCAGTCGAATGTGCTGCCAGCCTTCTGAGTATAGAAGGGGTAGGGGCGAGCCTGACAGACAGTGCGGACAAGGGCACCATGGAGAATTCACAGCACAAATGAACAGTCAAAATCGCGTTTGGCTAGACATGGCGGAAACGTGCGGAAACCTTGGAATAGAGCTGCTGGGCAGCTCAATTGACTACTCAATGCAAAACTCCTCCGGGCCTTCATGATCTTTTCACACATCAGCGAGCCAATGCACGAGGACACTACCTGAAGGCATTGCACGAATTGAAGGCATCTCCAAGAATACCAAAGCACGTAGGGTTCTCATCAAGCATTGTTAGGCGAGAAATGGATCGGCAGCGACAAGGAAACTCGTCCAAACGTGAACAATGAAATCGTTCCCAACAGGAGTGCCACGCGGTCAAAGAACGAAGCGTCCGAACAAAACGCACATTCAATATCATTGGATCAGGCTTGACTAAACGAGAGGAACCCAAATGTGTGCGATACTTCGAACGAGTCTGAAAACGGACCGCAAAAGACTCTGCATGGTAGGGACCAGGTCTGAAGATCCGTCTTCCAACGGATTTCCAGGCCAGTGCATCGAACCCAAACAGCGTTACTTGATGTTACTTTATGGCAACCGAGGGAAGTTGTATCTCTGAAAAAAGTCTGAATGTCCAAATTATCCTTTCGCATATTCTGGGGCATGCCCCGCAGCCAAACACAACTTGCACCGGAATAGCTACAAGCAATGGCCACGAGCCAAACTAAACAAATAATGTTTCAGAATTTCAGAAACAAACATCAAAAACAGAACGGAGTATGACAAAACCGATTGAGAATCACATATCGATTCCATGACTCATCGTGGACTTTGGGCACTACCACACAAACACGCCGAGTCATCCGAGATGCAGTTCAGCACTGAACATCAACGGTTGAAAAATTGTAGATCAAATGAGTGTGGCTGCAAGAGTGTGCTCGATTTGCATTCATGCGCAGTCATCATGCTGTCATGGAGAGGCAGGATCGCATCTCACCAAGGACCTGACTGAGCCAACGCAGCAAGCAATCGCCAGAGTGCTGGTTGCATCTTCAGTGGATCTGCTGCTCCTTGTGTGTCAGGTCGGCAGGTGAGCAGTGAGATACTGTGAGTCGCCGTCCTAGCATATCAAATCAAAAGTATTTTTTTGGTTTAATTGACCTAACGCAAACTTAAGTGATGCCATGACTAGGATAATCATTCACAAGGGTCAAGGGTCAAGTACATACAGTTATGTTAACCACTTAGCATGGTTTTGCCAAATATTAGTAAAAGCCCAAAAACAACTACAAAAAGCACAAGCAAACAAATAACAAATGAAAAAGCAAAAAGAAAAACAAGCAAATCCAAAAAGCAAAAAACAGCAAATTGCGACAAAAAAGCGAACAAAAAAGAAAAACACACATGAAAAAAAACAAAAACAAAAAAGAGCGGAACAAAACATGAAAAACACACAAAAATAAACGGAAAATTGCTCTCGTTTATTTGATTTTTTTGCTTTTGTGTTTTCATGTGCGGTTGTTTTGCTTTTTGGATTTCTTTTTTCATTTGTATTTTTTACTTTTCGGATTTGTTGTGTTTTTGTTTTTTTGGATTTGCTTTCTTTTTGTTTTTGCTTTTTCATTTGCTGTTTGATTTGTTTTTTTGTTGTTTGCTTTAATTATTTCCAAGATTCTCAGAGTTAGCCTGGGTCCGGCGAACACAAACATACAGTATATAATCATGATAATGTATATAACATAATGATACTAACAATGTAATGTGTACATATATAATATATTAACATTATACGTATAATATAATATTAAATAAAAATGATTCAACATCAACATCTGATTCAATTGTGCTCACTCAATGGTTTAAATGTATAGGCACCGGATAGCCGCTCCTCAACAAGCAAAATACAACCGCAGTCAGCGACCTTAGTCTGAACATGTCTGCCTCAATATGCTGGATAGCTTGGATTCTTGCGCATATGTAGAACTTCAAAGGGCACATCTTCCCCGAGCTCAGTACAGCAGCGCCAATGCTAGCCATTCCAAACGGCTGTACGCCTGGGCTGCAGGGCAAAATGGGAACATTCCTTGTTTCACCATATTGCTAGTCGTTCCTTTCTAATGTTTCTCGGGCCTCCCTGCACGCTGAAACCTTGAGAGCATTTAACCATCAAATAGCACAAAAGAGTTCCAAAACGACTGCGTGACCAAGGACGCTTGGATCAAATCCAGTCATCGAGCGACCATGTTGATACTCGCTCTGAGGACAGGACACCCAGCGACTCAACAAGGCACTCATAGGCATGTAGAAGTATCTGAAGCAAAGTCGGAAAAGCATCACCAATCTGCAAACCACCGACAGTGGCAGAAAAGGTCCTGTGGCACCTATGGTGGTACGGTATGGTATGGCAGCCCTTTTCTAGAGAACTTCAGGCCACTTTTCACGGAAAACACGTCCATCTGACATTTGGATGTCGGAAGAACCCGTCTTGTCGTCTGCATGTCGAGGCCAAGGCCCCAAGACGGTGTTCACGGATGCGCTAATCCCGGCGCCATAGGCCTGCGAAGCCAATGGCGAACATGCCACGCTAGAACTCGTCGAAAGGCTCTAGTCTAGAGATGTCTAAGGAGTATTCAGCAGTATTAGCTGTTCAGGCCAAGGAGCTTTGATCTGCAGGGTCTGGCCAAAGGAGAAGCAAGCAGCAACAGGGAGGCACCTCAACGAGGCATGTTGTTACAAAATGTGTTTGTAAGCCATGGAACAAACTAAAGCGTTTCCTCCATGGTTCTGACTGTGAAGAAAGTTGCAGAACTTCTCGTGAGAGGCATGGACCCCATACCACTAAAGCCATCATTGGGAATCGCATCAGCTTGCGGAACACCAGATCAAATCTTGGTCTCCCAGCGTCAAGGCGTCTCTCCAAAGCAAGGAATCCCGAGCTCCTCGCGGAGAGCGTGAGAAATGAGCACCCAATTTCTTTTTTGGCTTGAAGAGCTTCTTCAAAATTTAGCGGAACCATTACTAAGATGCATAAACGCATACAGGTCCTTCTCGCCCGTCGAGGAGTCCAGACATGACAATTCCAATTGGAATTGATGATGCAGAGAGCGCCCAAACCACAGACTGCTGGACTATAGGAGTGTCTTTGATAGCCTTGGCCAGGCTGAAATTGAAATAATTTCAGATATGCGAGAATCTACAGTATATAATAGAAAATATTGGGAGGGATTGAGGCCTAACAAGATTCACCAAATTCCGCACATCTGCAGAATTCATCTAAATTCTCAGTCTGCAAAGAATTGATGGCTCCCCAGATCCAAGGGCGCTTGATTCTCACGAGCGGTGAGTGAGCTGGGTGGAATCGACAACCAAAAAATCCAGGGGCCCGGCCCAAGCGTTGATGAGGTTTCGGCTGGCATCTGCGAGGACAAAGGACACTACGCACAAGACCTGTCGCCCATGCGGGGTTACTCATGGAACAGTTGTCTTGAATGATTTGAAGTGAAACCTGCAGGCTCAAAGGAAGGACACGGCACACAAAGCTGTGGCTTTACTTAAGTCCTGTTGTACACAGTAAGCTACGAGGACATATGAGGACCACTCATGGATGTCTCGTGCCTGCGTAGACCGTCCTGCCTGAGACATTGAATGAAGGAAAGCAACATGCAAAAGAATATGGCTTGGGCCTTTAAAGAACTTGGAGCCAGGCAGATGAGGACAACCACAGTGCAAGATTGGTGTTGATGTGCTTTGCCTTCACACCATGATCAATCCACCGCGTGGCGACTTGGCTCTGGCGTGATCGCAAAGCAAAGCCAGCACATCCTTTTCCGAAATCCCAGTTCTTGCCGCCTTGCCTGTTCGTACCAAGTGCCTTGGTGGAATGATTCTTGCGCATGGCCGGAACAAACATGCTCATGTCCCCCATGCTGAGCTTGCCTGTCAGCAATCAAGGAGGACAAGATCTGGTGGATCTTCTCCCACAAATTGTGCAATATCTATAGGCGAGGAATGAGAAGGATTCGATGTTTCGATTAGTTGCGAAGGCTTGTTCTTCCCAAGGTCGCTGCGATCCAGAAGTCCGATTCGAGGCTGAGCCTTTCACACAGCGAGCTCGGCTGAAAGGCTGAGCAAAGGAATGCCACACCCCCTAGCAAATAGCCAGTTCAGTAGCAATTAAATTCCAACACATGCTTTCAATTCTGCGAGTTCATCGCCACACATACCCCGTGCTTTTCTCGAGTGCTTTGCAGGACTCACAGGTTGGGTCAATCTGAGTCAGTATTCTCTTCGTCAGCATCATTGATGTTGAAATACCGCATCTCGTAGGAGTTCTTGTTGGGCGCCACGATCCGCAGGAAATCCCGAAGGTTCTGCGACTTCAAATACTTCTTGCCCAAGTACTTCCTTGCCAGCGTTCAAATAGCAAGAGTGAACGCTCCGCAACACAGTGTGTTGCATGGACAGTATCCCCGCCTACTTCATCAGTAGCTGGTTTAGGATGGTTTAGGATCTTAAGTTCCATGGTGCAAAAGGTCTGGTGTGGGATTGGAGCCTTTTTCTGCAAGACTGTGAAACGTGCACCGACATGTACGGACCCATAGCAGTTGATCACCCTATGTCAAACTTGTCCATGCTGAGCCGCAAGTAGCGCTTGGAGAAAGGAGCCTGCGCTGTCACATGGACCTTCGCCTTCTCCCGGGAGATACTGATCTTGTCGCCCAAGTTGCCTGTCTTTCCATCGACCTCGTCATCGAGGAGTGAGATCAGCTGACCAGTTGCAGCACATGCAGCGTGTCTAGTGACATGAAGAGTGGCAAAGTGCTTACATTAGTGTCTTGCACACTGTATTCACATCCTTTACGCTGAACAAACCCTACAAGATGTGTAGTCGATTGCAGGTCCGACAGATTATGGGCTTCCACCTTGATGCGATTCATCAGGAAATGTTCAAAGTCTTTGACTTCCAGAATGTTATCATCCACAGGTTGCCTTAGGCCACATCAGGCTTCAATGAGTTGCAATTGTGATTTGTACGCGCTGGTTTGACAACTTTGGATGACATCGGTGTAACAAAACTGCGGCTTGAAAACATCTCACTAGATTCAGAAGTGTCCTACTGAGCCTCTACTTCCAACAACAGGTGCCTTGAACAAACCAACAAGCAGTCATTGTGACATTGTGACATGGTGACCTCCAGTGCGCTTGAGGCCATCCAACCAACAGGTGAACCGGCCAACAAACCCACAATAACTGCCCCCCTACGCCAAAGTGGCATCCTGGGCGAGGGATCAACAAAAAAAACAAAATTAATCAAACTATAATAAAACAATAAATATATTTCAGGGGATCAAGATTTAAAAAACATGAAGCAACAAAAAGTAAACGGACCCAATCGTGCAGAGGGAAGAGCAATATTCCATTAACGGGCGAGGTATCAACAAAAACAAACATTAGTAAAAAGACGGACCCAAACGCGTAGAGGGAAGAGCAATATTCCATTCTAAGCAGTGATCAAATGAATAAAAACACATAAAAAAACAAGCAGGAAAATCATATGAAATGAAATGAAATTGAACATGAAATTAAAACGAAAGAAGGAAGAAATGATGCATGAGTCAATTAACGAATGAAATGAAAATGAAGGAATGAAGTGAAGTGAAGTGAAGTGACAGTTCAATTCAATTCAATTCAAATGAATGAATGAATTAATGAATGAATGCATGCATGAATGAATTAAAGTAAACAAATCAAACAAATAAGTGAACAATAAAACCAGTATATAGTTGAGTCACATAAATAGGACTGGGCTAGTCTAGAAAGCTATACCCGAACCTACTTCTACGCTCAACAATTAA